GCTGATTCTCATAGGATCTGAAGCACCAAATATACCAAGAGCCTAAGATCTGCTGCTCAAAGAACCGAAAGGCCATGATCAAGAAGCCAGCTGCAATACATTGTTTTATTCCATCACAGTAACAGGTAACATGTTCTTGCAATGGACAGTTGGATTTGTCTGCAACTAAGAGAGGAAAATTTTAAGAGTGTGCAGCACTTTCTTCCTGGCCCATTAAATTGCTTGAAAATCATTTCCTCTCCTACAAGCGAGCAGAGAACCTGTATCAATTAAATATTCTCAAGGGCCTCTGCCTATATTTCTCTGCTGAGGAATCTGCTAACATTATGTTAAGAATGTCAAAAACAGAGTAGGAAACTTTTAGAAAGTTCAACCTTTTTTTTTTTTTTTAAAGCATAGTCCAAATCCCAAAGTAATTTGCTAAAATCATAAAGAAAAGCCTTCTAACATCTTAGCCTTCTGGAAAGAACATTGTGGATTCTTAGTTGTGCCTGTGATAATATCAAACCTGCCTTCAGGTACAGAATTTTGTGTGGGTTCTCTTATTCTTGCTCTCTACAACCTACAAACGTTGCCTTTCCCTACAGAACTCCATGTCCTTTCCCCGACTTGTTCTCTTACTGTATGTATTTTTAAAACAGGCCTCTTTACTGCTATACATATTTTTAAAACAGGCCATTTTCTCTGCTTCCTACAACCAAGAAACAGAAGGATGGGTCTGAACCAAAAAAGCATGAACTCCTATTGGCTGCTGCCTCTTGGACCCGGGTGCATAAGTTAGGCAGCAGCGTGCAGGGCAGTCCCCTCCTCCCAGGTGGGTTACCTGAGCACAGTCACGCTCCCCCTGCGCACAGGCAGGGAAAGCACAGGTTCTGACACCCGGATTGGCTTGAACTGGAATTTGCAGCCGAAGCACAGCGCAGAATCACTAAAGAAAGACACAGACACGATGGGGCGCTCAAATATGTGGATGGGGTCCACGTGAGAGACGATGCAGCCGCCTGGCTGGTAGTCGTTGATGACCGCACTATTGACGAAGCCCTCGGGAATGACGCGGTGTTCTACCAGCTTCTGGATTACCAGCTGGTGCACCCATTCGGGGATCTCGTCCACATCTCCCGGAGGGTACAGACGTTCCTGGCCAGGCCCGCGCTTCTGCAGCTGGGCGCCATACGTGTAGCCCTCACCGAAGAAGTACTTGTTGCGCAGCGGGGCCCGGTCCACTGTGTGCTCATTGTACAGGCCCTTCTCAGCGCGGGACACCACCTCGTCGATGCGGGCCTCTATCTTGGTGCACTCATCCTGACTGAACAGGCGTATCTGGCGGATGCCGCTCTTTACCTTGCGAGCCTCCTCCTCCTTCTGCAGCTGCTGCTCCTCATAATCGCTGCGCTCCGGGTCCGAGTCCTCCTGATACTTGCGCTTGGTCCCGGACAGCGGGTAAGGTTCAGCGGCGGCGGCAGCTGCGGCGGCGGCGGCCACAGCAGCGGCTGCCGCAGCCGCAGCCTCCCGGTTACCTGCCTTGTAGTTGTCTCGGGACGTCATGGACTTCAGCTTCTCACGCAGGTCCGTGTAGCCGCTGGCGGCCGCCATGCCCCCGCGAGACTACTCTAGGGTCCTCCAGGGCGGATAGAGCGCCAGGGCATGGCTCTCAGGGGACGTGCCCCGGGGCCCCCGGAGAGAAGGGGGTCCTCAGAGCCAGACCCCCATCCGAAGCCTGGCGGAGGGAGGCGACGGACCGGTCGCGGGGTCAGGCCTCAGGGGTGACGGGTCATGCAGCGGTGGCGAAAACGGGACTTCCTCCTCCACTTTCTCCGCGTCCCAGAGGGCAGGGGCGACAGCAGCACCTCATGCCGCGGAGGGCCGCTGAGTAGATTCGGCCCGACTCCCGGCCAGACCCTCAGACACCCGGCCCAGCCCGCACTTTAAAGCTCTCCTCACTACGTCACAGGCCGCCCGCCCGACGTCCGCCAGCGCCGCTCCTTAGCGGGCTCTTCGACGCGCAAGCGTAGTGTCGTCGGCCACCGCGGCTCAGTGCGCTGTGGGCATGCGCGTGCGTGCGGGCCAGGTCGGCATAAGGGCCAGCGCAAGCGCACAAGGGCACCACTGCATGTCCGCCGCCCCTCCCCCACTCGCTGAAGGGCTTTAAGGGAGAGCTCTCAAACAGCGACCTGCCTCCACGTCGCGCCGCCTCCAGGACCGAAGTGCTCCCTCCGCAGGAGTGCCCTCACGCTGTCAACACTGTTGCTATGCCGCGTCATAGCATCGTCCGAATGCCCTTAAATGTCTCAGTCCTAAACGCGCAATCTCCGAGGAACCGCCACAACCTAGACGGTCCTGTTACCGCCCACTTTGCGCTTCCACTTTTTTAATTGGGCCATCGGCCACGCACCGGGCCAGCCCAGCCTGGTGTTTCCACAACTTGATTGGGAAGTATGCTTGTCAATCAGGTAGTCTCCTTGGCTACTGCGTCCATCACTTAATTAGGTGCGGGGAGGAGGGCGGCGAGGACCCCAAAGAACGAATTGGTGGTTAAATGAGTGCCTGAATGGAGGCCACACCGCAGGAAATATCTTCAGGGCACCTAAAGAAACTTGTGACACTGGCGGAAACTTCTCAAACTGTAGGACCGAGAGCGTCGAGCCTAACTTTGAATCCAGAAGGCGACAGATCTAGAAGCTGGACCACCATCACCCCCTCCACTGCCACCTCCTCCACCGCATCTCCTCCTCCCCCGCCGCCGCTGCCACTGCCGCCGCCGCCGCCGCCACCCGGAGCAGACGTTCCACTTGTCACGTACCGGAGGCGGCGGGCGCGTGCGCAGCCGCGGAGACGCGCCGTTGGCTCGCGTCGCTCCTCCCAGGGACTGGATGTGGGTATAGGACAACTTTTACCTAGACAACAATGGGAGAAGTAGGCGCACGGATGCAGCTAAGCTATGGGTGTTTACTAAAGATCATTCCAAAGTTCTCAATAAAGCAGATGGCATGATGTCGGCAGAGGTGGCTTCGACAAACGAGTTTCTGCTGCAAAACCTCCATAGCTTGCCTGGATAAAGTTCAGCGTTTTTTTTGGCCTTTGTTTGGACCGCTTCCGGCCTAGCCTCCGCTGCCCTGTTTTCGCCTAGCCCTAGGTACAAACATAACCTGTCCTCGTCTTTGCCCAGGCAGTTTCTGCCACTTGGAATACTAGGTCCTCTCACCTGTGTTTTTTGTTTCGCTTTATTGAGGCTCAATCACTTGTGTCTAGCAGCCTTCCCAGATTCTGATCTGTTAAATGGGGTTAAAGATAGTACTTACCTCATAAGGTGATTTTAAAGATGGAATTAAGTCGTATATTAAGCAGAAGGGATGATCTCAAACCTGGACCTCAATTTTCTCATCCGTCAACTTTGAGAGTCCTATCAGGTTCTGTTAAATTGTCTCAATCACTTATTTTTAACTGTCAGGTTTACAGTTTGGCCAGTTTCAGCTGGCAGTTCCTCTGTGTGCTAGGCTGCATCAGCTGGAGCAGTGCCAGCTGGATGAACCACTTACAGGTGGTCTCTTTCACATGGTGGTCCACTTGTATTCTGAAACCTTAAAGTGTCTCTTGTCATTCTTTTCCTTATCATCCCTCCCTGAGCTTCATAACTTAGCTTGAGTGAGGAAAAGGTTTCAGGGCAACAGTAGCCTACAGATGGATGTCTTCATGTCTGATCTGTTTTGAAAATGGGATAGTCAAACAAAGGGGAGACGCAGGCCTCTTGTTGAGCCCACTGCACAATTGAGGAATCCCTGCCCTAGACCAGGCACTGGCCCAAGAACAGAGGGAACTTACCCAGGGGCCAGCAGATGAGTCTGGAGGTACATCTCTCTTGGCAATGGTTGCTTTTTTGTTTTGTTTTTTGAGATACAGTTTTTTTTTTTTTTTTTTTTGTCTTTTTCGTTTTTATAGGTACCAGGGATCAAACTCACGACTGCCTCCTTGCAAGGCAGGCGCTTATGCCACTGAGCTAAATCCCCAGCCCCATTGAGATACGGACTTACCATGTAATACAGATTGGTCTTCAACTGTGTGGACCAGGTTGGCCTTGAACTCGTGGTGATCCCTTTGCCTCAGCCTCCAAAGTACTGGGATTGCAGGCATGTACCACCACACTTGGCTGGCAGTGGTTACTTGATTTGATAACAGGCAGTCTGATTCCTGCCCCCTTCTCACTCAGTATGTTGTGCTGGGGAATATGGTGGGAAGCCAACCCCAGGCAGTAATTGGTTGAAGTGTGACAGAGAATTTGTGTCAGGGGCTCTTCCTAGGATGGCCATACCCCCAACCTCCAGAATGGACCTCCTAAATCCCTCCCACATTGTTACGTTTCCCCCTCCCCTGCTACCATTACCAGGAGCCATGCCACAGAACTTCCCAATCTCCTAGAGCCTGCAGCAGCCTCCCGTGGTCTCCCTGTCTCCTACAGTCACTCTGTGCCCTTGTGGTGGAAAGAATTTTTCCAAGTACAATCTGAGCAGATTGCCATATCCATGTCCCCCACTGGTAAACACTCCAGTGGGGGTTTCATGACTCTGGAATGAAATCCTAAATCTATAAAATAACCTAATAAAGTCACACCCTATTTCCCCTTATAGCTTCTTTAGTCTCAGGACTTCCATACAAGCGAGTCCCTTCCCTCGTCACCAGGGTAACCCTCGCCCTGCTTTGTTAGTTGCATGACCATAAGCAGCTCCAAGTGCCTAGCATTCTACCTAGTAAGCACTGAGTGACTAAAGGAGTAAATAAATTCTTTCTCTGATGCCACTGCTCCTGGAGTTATGCCCCCACCTACCTATCCATCCTCTAGTTTCCAAGTATCGTGCTTCCTCCTCCCAGGCTCCCAACACACCAGCACTTGCCATCCTTACTGATTTTATTGCTTCTTTCATGCACATGACAAGGATTTTTAAAGTGTCTATCCTGTGTTAAGCAAAGTCCAAGGCTACAGGAGATAGAGCAAAGAACAAACAGAGTTTTCTGTTGGGAATATTTTATTTCTCTCCATTCCATCTATTCTTAAGAAAATGTTAGTCATTTTTTTAAAACCCAACCCTATTGTACCATTCTCTGGGAAGCACTATCCCAAACTTCACTTTTCCCACTACATGACTCTGGAAACTTGTGTGACCCATCTTGGAGACGTGGGGTTGGGACTACCCAACAAGAGTGTAGAACAGGACAGACACTACAGGGAGATCAAAGTCTTTCTGGACATGCTGATCATAGATAATGAGTAGGGCACAACTCTGCCTCCAATTCCTGCCTCCTGTCTTGACTTATCCAGCCACTTAGCAACTTCATGGAGGAAGTAGCCACCAGGTACAGAAATGACCAAGGTTCAAAGGTCTAGGTTGAGAGGCAGCACAAAGTAGGACACACCTGAGGCAGGCTGGGAGGTGGAGCTGATGTAGATTCAAACATCAGACCCTGAATAAACCAAAGGCAGGCTGGTGTGGGGTTTCTCTGCCACATAGGCATCAGAAGTAGGATCTGTGGCAGACACCCAGTAGGAGGCCCATGATCCCCTATACTCTTGGCCAGCCTTTGATGGTTTTATCCTGCTGTCTGGCTCAAGTCTTCAGGCTGTGACTCTATCCCAACTCTAGATCAGTCCTCTTGGGTGCATGGGTTGTTCTTCCTACCTCCTGTGCTTTCCTTCAAGGTTCTGGCCCTTCCAGTGGCTTTCCTGAGGCCACACAGGGAATCTTCTGCAGAAGGCATCTGGAGGACTGGGGGCCAGGTCAGAGCAGGGTAATCTCACTGGGAGGCAGTGTGAGCCGCTTCTCCCGGGCACTAAGCAGGTTTTCCACGTGCACAGCCACCACACGACATAGCTCCAGACCCTGCAGGAGACACAGTGACGGTCCACACCCACCTCATCTTCCCCACCTCATCTTTGGTGGGATGTGCAGAATGGAGACATTGATGGGAGAGGGGTAGAGATCGCCACCTGCACAGGAACCCTCATACACCCCACGCCATTGGGTGCATGGAGAATGTGAAGAGGGAAGGCAGAATGGTGGGCTTCAGGCCAGAAGAGGCAAACAACCAAGGGACGTGCTGTGACTGCTCTGTGTGACCAAGGCCAGTTACTTCCCCTCAGAGATTCAGCAACCTCTTACTTAGGGTCTCAATTTAACTGACCCTACCTCACAGGGCTGGGAAAAGGATTCAATGCAATTTTATTGCATGTATATCCTTCAGACTTAAAAAATATTAATCCATGGACTGGGATGCAGTTCAGTGGTCCTAATTCTAAGTTCCTGAATTCTAGCCCCAGCAAATCTCCCAAAATTAGTCCAATCAGTAAATGCTAAGTAGTTGACTATGTGTTGCTATGGTTACCCCCTGGAACCTATAGTGTAGAACAGGGAAGTCGCTCAGTCCTAGGGCTCCTAACTGCAGCAGGGTGGGGAAGGCACCAGGGAGTTTCAGAAAATTGATCTGTGAGTGTGGCTCACAGACCAAAGCTAGTGGAGGGAGGCCCTCAGGGATTTGTTAGGGTGACAGAAGTTGCTCTGGGAGATAGTAAAATGGTGACAGTCACACTTACTGGGCATTGACTGTGCCAGATTTCCTTTTGAGAGCTTTATGTCTACTCCCTCCAGTGTCCCTAAGAGATAGCACTATGACATAAATTCTACAAGTGAGAGCCTGAGATCCAGAGCTGTAAAATTGTTTGCCTTGCAACTTGCCCCTGTAGGCGCAGGGTTTGAATTTGGGTGGTGAGAGGCCTGAGGCCACATTCTGCAGGGCAGTGTTCTTTGGGAGGTTTAGCTGTGACCACCCAGCCCTGGGGGCCATCCTAGCTAATTAAATCAGTATGGGCAATCTTTTGCCTGCCCACACTCTGCTGTGTTCTAAGTGGTGCCCCACTTGACGGGTGTGGAAACTTGAGGCTCATGATCTCTTTATCCAGCTTTTTGGAGGTAGGCAGACTGAGGACCTAAGTCTGTTGGTGGCATTCAGATGAACTTAGAAACCACTTTCCCCTGGGAGCCCTCCTAGATCATCTGTGCAGTGCAGGTCCTGATCATGGTTTACTGGAGAGATTCTTTCATGGCTGAGGCTCAGGGCTCTTCAAGGGCCAGGGCTGAAGGAATCTCAATCACATCAGTATTCTTGCAGTCAGGGCTGAGCCTGCTTTACAGAGATCCTCTGGATGCACCCCCCTCCACACATGTACACCCATACAGGATAGGCAGAGGTGGCAGTTTCCTTGCAGAGTCTGCTACAGGAAAGTGGAAAAATAAAAAAAGTCTTCAGCTAACCATCCATCCATCTAGTCATCTAACAAAGAGACATTGAGCATCTACTATGGCACCACGCTATGCACACAGCATGAACAACATGGCCACAGTCAGCTCTCTGGATGCCAATATTCCACTACAGAGACAGACAATATGAAAATAGATGATCCATCATGAGGACCACTGAGGCAGAGGCCATGAGTTATTAGGGAGGAAGGTGGACGAAGGCTTCTGGAAAGAGACTCTGTGCTGAAATCCAAATGGAGGGAATCCTGTAAGGAATCATGTAAAGGAATAGTGGTACAAAGGGCCTGGGACAGGAGGGGAGGGCAAGCCCAGCCTGGCTTGTTCAGAAGAGGCTAGGATGGTGTTGAGTGTAATGGTTGATATACTGTGTAACTTGAGAAGCTTAGAAGTGTAAGTGACTCAGCAGGGGGCCAGGGTCCTCGTTATCATCCTGTGTAAGAGGAGGGCAGGGACATGTGTGAATGCTACACTTACCCTGGGAGGTGATAGTCTCCTTACAATAAAAGAGGAAAACAGGCTTGTTCTCCCCGCTTTTTGCTCTTGTTGCTTTTGCTGACTTTGGCCACCTTAAACTGTTGCCCCTCTGCCATGCCACCCTGCCTTGAAGCCAGCTGATTATGGACTGAAACCTCCACAAACTGTGAGGTAAATAAGTCTTTGTTTCTTTAACTTTGGGTAGTGGGTATTTTGTCCCAGCAATGAGAGAAAAATAACTAAGACACTGAATGATTACAGGGCACAGGCGGGGAGAGGAGGCCACAGTGGCAGGGTTAGGTTAAGGACACAGGAATGAGAGGATGGGGAAGAAGCTAGAGAAGGCTGTTGGCCTCCAGGAAATGATGCTCAGGGAGCCTGGATGAGGGACAGAGACAGAAATATGGGGCTGGCCCAGTGGTAAAGGATCGAGAACCAGACTGCAAAATACAGAAATGGTATTGGGAGGGGACAGATACAAGAGGGAGGGAAGGCAAGAGCTCAGAGAAGGGGCAGCGGGGCAAGCCTGCCAGAGGGAGTGCTTGGGGGAGCAGGTGGGGGTGTGGTAGAAGGGGACAGGATGTCTCCTCCCAAGTCACAGGTTCACCAAGAGTCTTTCTCTGGTCCTGTCCCTAATAGGTAGAGGTGGTATTGTGAAAATCCACTCTTTTCATTGGGAATTGGCTGTGCCCATTCTTAGAAGGGTATGTGGCAGGTCAGAAAAGGTTTACGTGTGGCCTGGACTTGATTTTGCTCCTTCTCTGGGCCTTTATATTGTCTCTACTGTGAGGTAAAAACTCTATTCCTGCCCTACCCCATGGGTCTGTGAAACTTGTACAGGAGCCTACACCTGTGCCTGTCTAAGGAGCAATCATAATTGAGAAGGCACAAAGCAGATGGGTCTCAGTGTCCCTATCTGTCAACGGGAGCCCGCTTCCCTAAACTGCAGTCGTAGGCCCAACAATCTAACCTCTTGACCTCAGTCCCAGTTAGTTTTCTGAAATCTTGTGTTCCTGCTCACTCACCAACTTTCTATGGCTCCTGAGGAAAAAGCCCCAGATTCTCAGTGTCAGAGAGCTCAAGACCTCCCTTCCTCAGGTTGTGTCTCGCCATCAAATGTCTTAGTATTCTGCAAATGACCTGGGTCGTTTCCCATGGCCATGCTACCAACTTACCTTGCAGGAACACCATAATGACTTGCAGTTCTGTGGCCTGCACTAGGCTGGATGTTGGTTGGGGTACAGCCAGGACCTGATCCCCACTGGAGCAAGGTTCTGGGAGGAGCCTAGTGAGTATATGAGCAGGGGAGGGTCCGGGCTCACCTGCTCCAGCTGCAGCTGCATGGTGCGCTGGGCCACCACATCCCCCAGTGCAATCTCCACATAGGGATAACTGGAGTTGGCTGTGGGTCGCTGGGTTCGTGTGGATTGGATCTCCTTTAGAGGGAACTTCACCATCAGTTCCTGGGAGTGAGAGAGAGGAGCCAGACAGACCTATGGGTGGGGATAGTCTTAACCATGCCAAACCTTTCCCTTCAGATCAGAAGGTAGGGGAAAAAAGCAGCAGGAGGGCCTGGTTCAAGTAACACTTGCTGTATGACCTTGAGCAAGTCATTCTACCTTGTATGTCAGAGTCTTCACCTGTGATTCAGCTAATGCTGATGTTGCATCTACAGTTTTCCAGGTGTGGCTCATGCTGCTTGGGATACAGGGGGTATAGCGGCTGCTGGTGGTGTCCTGACCTTCACATCAGAGTTCCTTCTGTGAAAATCTGCACCCCTTTGTCTAAGGCTTTATTTCTAGCCCAAGGAAGAAACATCACATATAGGAAAGCTAGAGTGATGCAGAGGTGATGTGCAGAGAGAAGCCCTCGACTAATGATGGTTGGCGAGTGGTGGTAAGACATCCTGGCTTCTTCCCCACAGGAGAGAAGGGCGTGCTTAGTGCATGTTATCATTGAAAGGTTCACCATCACTGCTTCATGTTGTCCTTGGTTCCCAGCCGGACCGACTGCCTCCAGTAGCTCATACTGACAACTCAAATTATAATGCAGCTTTATTGTCTCTGGCCCTTCCCTGCCCTACCTGCTCACTCCAGTGTTTCCTTAAATCGCCTCCCCCAGCTCCCACTGACCCCAGCCTAGAATCTTCATTCAGAAACTAAGGAAAAAGCAAGAGGCCCTATTTGTGATCAGATGAATTGGGTCCCTTGCAAATTCCTATGTGGAGTTGTAGGCCCCAGTACCTTGAATCTGAGTATATCTGAAGATAAGGCCTTTAAGGAGGAGACTAAGGGGCAAGCTCATTGGCTGAGCCTGCCTAGCATGTTTGATGCCTGGGGTTCCATCCCTAGCACCACAGACAGTAAGTTAAGAGGTGATTTGGTTAGAACAAGGCTTTCAGAGTGGCACCTACTTGAGCATGACTGGTTGCCATATAAGAGGAACTTGATATACACAGAGACGCCAGGGATGTACACATACAGAGGAAAGACCACATGAAGACCCAATGAGTAAGTTGCCATCTATAAGTCAAGAAGGAGAACAGACCCACTGACAGCTTGATCTCAGACTTTCAGCTCCCAGAACTATGAGAAAAGAAACCTGTGTTGCATAAGTCATTGAGTCATAGTATTTTGTCAGGGCAGCCTGAGCAGACCAATCCACGATTTGAAAGCTTAGCATGTGTTTTTCCCCACGTCCTCTTAAAATTGGCCCTACAGGGTAGATTCTACCATTATACCCATTTTCCAGATGGGGACAGTGAGACTCTGAGAAGGGAAAAGACTTGCTAGAGATCATCCAGGTGTTAAGTGGTAGAACTGGTCTTCCACAGTTGGTGACCTTGGTCCCTGGGAGGGGGTGGCAGGCTGGAGGACAGGGGACAGATTGGCATGGCCAGACTGACTCCACTTACATGGGTTTCGGTGCTGAGGAAGTTGAGGCCATTGTGGTTGACAGCTAGAATACAGGGGGCTGGCACAGCAGTATTGCTACAGCTCTGGATGAAGAAGAAAGAGGAGCCAAACATAGGAAAGGCACTGAGGAGGCCTGCAACAGGGAAAGGGGCATTACCAAGTTAGCCGGTGCATCCATGACACCCATGGTCTTCAGCTTCCCTCCCCTCCACCTCTCTGGCCTCCTCCTCTACCTTTTTTTTTTTGTCTTTTTCGTTTTTATCAGTACCAGGAATCGAACTCATGACTGCCTGCTTGCAAGGCAGGTGCTTATGCTGCTGAGCTAAATCCCCAGCCCCTTAATACAACTTTTTTTTTTTTTTTTGTCTCCTCCTCTACTTTTGATCCAGGCTGTTTTTCATTTCCTACTTTTTCTATGCAGAATCACCCTCAGCCCAGGTGATGCTTTTGGGAAAATGTTAAAAAGTCTTCTCTCCAGGCAGGTGACCAGCTCAGCTGGAACTAAAAATGCCTTTGTGCAAGGAAAAAAAGGCTTCCTCCTCCTCTTCCAGTCCCTTCCCTCGTGAGGTGAGGATCTTCCCAGCTGTGCATCCCATCCCAGGCTCTTACCCAGGAACTGAGCCCGGGCCTGGTGGGGGCTGAGCGCCTGCATCTGCTGTCTGTGCTGGCCAATCAGGTTGAGCCAGGCGGAGCCAGCCATAGTGCGGTACATCTGAGCTGGGATGTACTCCTGGACCTCCCGCCTGTGTGTGGAGGAGACAAGGTCCTGAGCACTGCCATTCAATCCCACTGTGCAGCAGGTATAATACAAAGCAGACATAATGATGCATCTTCCTGGAAAACTACTGCATAGCACAAAAGGGAAACATAAGGGTACCAGGGTTCCCATGGGGCTTTTGTACACATCAGGTGCTGTCACTGCCAAGGCCAGTTTCATTTAGGACCATTATTTGCAAGTGAAGGAACAGAGAAATTCACCAGAGTCCAGGCTACACAGTGACTGGGTATGTGGGCAGTAAGACTTGAACCCAACATGGGTTTGTCTTTTGTAGCTTCTGCCTCCAAGAAGGAGCTCAGGCTGGACGGGAGCAAGGCACAGGGCTGGGAGAAACATCAAGTCAGGCAAAGCACTACCAGGGAGCTGGGAAGAGGGCAAGGGATGCTAGATCTTTGGGCTGAATCTTAGGGGCCATCAGTCAGGACCAGCTCGCTTTCTGCTCTTAACCGTCATGCTGATTCCCTCAGGGCAACTGCTTTACCCCTAAGGACATGGGAAATATTAACAGCAGTCCTAGCCCATCCCAGTTTCAGTGGGAAGAGTACTGGGAGGAAGTCACGGGATCCCTGTCCCGTAGAACTCTCCTTGGTAACATTCTTCTTCCTTTGCACTGCTGGAGTAAGAGTCTGGCATCAAGGGGCTGGGGATATGGCTCATGGTAGAGTGCTTGCCTAGCACGTGTGAGGTCCTGGGTTTAATTCCCAGTACTGCCTGCCTCTAAAAGACAAGAAAATTTTCATTGCATTTAAAAAAAGAGCCTGGTTGAGGCCAGGGATTTAGCTCAGTGGCGTAAGCACCTGCCTGGCAAGTGTGAGGTCATGAGTTTGATCCCTGGTACCACCGAAAAAAAAAAAGAGCCTGGCATCTGAAGCCAGCTTCCCCAGGTTTCCATTTCCCCCTTAACTCGCTGCACTCAGGAAGCCTCAGTGGCCTCATCTGTGATCTGTGAAAGGGTGTTTCTATTTAAAGAGTGGTTGGGAAAAGTAGCTTAAATACATACATAGAAATCCTTGTAAAAAGTAAAACCCAACAGGTGTGCAGCTCATACCTGTGGTCCCAGCTACTAGGGAGGCAGAAGCAGGAGGGTTACTTTTTTGTTTGTTTTTTGAGATAAAGTCTCACTATGTCGTTCAGGCTGGTCTTATACTCACTACATAGCCAGGTTGGCCTCGAACGAGCCTCTTTAGGCCTTTGTCTCCTGAGTGCTGGGGTACAGGGGAGCACCACACCCAGTTAATTTTACTATGATTTACACCAGGGGTTCTCAGAGTGTAGTCAAGGGTCTAGGAGGTCTGAGCTGGGCATAGGGGCATACGTCTGTTCTCATAGCACTGGGGAGGCAGAGACAGGAGGATTGCCACAAGTTTGAGGCCAGCCTGGGCTACACAGGGAGACAGAATCTTAAAAAAAAAAAAATCTAAGAAATAAAAAGTGTCTGGGAGGGCAAAACCATTTTCATAACAATATTAACATGTCTTTTGCTTTTTTCTTTGTTGCTCTTTTACAGTTGGAGTTTTCTCTGGGGCTATGTGACTGGCTGTAAGACAGGCGAGATGGTAACTGAGTGTATGAGCAGATCTACAAATCCAGCTCTCTTCTATAAGTCAGACAGAAAAAGACTTCACAAGACATGAAATGAAGCCACTGATTTTTTTTTTTTTTTTTTTTGTACCAGGGATCAAACTCAGGACCTTGTGCTTGCCAGACAGATACTTTGCAGCTGAGATAAATCCCTGGCCCTTCTTTGCACTGATTTTTAAGTAAGTATTTTTCATAGGTAATAGATTTATTTATTTATTAGACAAAGTGTCACTGTGTAGTTCAGGACAGCCTTGAACTCACTATGTAGCTCAAGCTGGCCTCAAACTAGTGGTGGTACTTCTGCATCAGCCTCCTGCGTACTAGGATTACAGGCACACAACACCATGCTTGGCTCATTGTTATTTTGAAATTAGTAAATCTGTGCGGTTTTCTGTTTTTGAGATGTAGGATCTCACTAACTTGCCCAGGCTGGCCTTGAACTTGAGATCTTCCTGCTCCAGCCTCCGAAGTAGCTAGATCAATAGGCATGTAACAGTATTCCTGGCTTAAATCTATGTTTTAAATTTTTTCTCAGTTTTAATTTTGAATAGGTTAAATATATCAATGTATAATGAATACAAGTATTTTAGGATCCTACTTCTTTTTCTTTCTTTCATTCTTTCGTGTGTGTGTGTGTGTGTGTGTGTGTGTGTGTGTGTGTGTGTGTATGTGTGTGTGTAGTGTTTAGGGATTGAAACCAAGGTCTCATGCGTTCTAGGCAAGCACTGTTATCATTGAGCTACATCCCCGCCCTTCAGATCCTATTTTCAAGTGAGTAAAAAGTCTTGAAATCAAAAATCCTAAGGCTGATTTCTATCCTGAGTGCTGATCACATCTTTGATACATCAGTTTACTTAACAAATCCCCTATCCTTGGATATTAAGGTTGCTTCCAGTCTTTTGCTGTTGTTAGGAATGCTGCAGTGAATATTTTAGAGACTAAATCTGCACAGTCATGGACTACAAGGTATATGCGTCCTGAAATCTCCATTAAATAGAAGCTCTCAATTCTTTGCTCTGAACTATTAACACCAGCCAGAAGCAACTTGTCACAGGAGGGAGTCTGGATCCTAGCTCCTACAGTGAACTATAGAACTTCAGGGCCAAGATTAAGACAGCCCTTTCCCAGCCAGCTCCCTCACTGCAAGAGAGGGATCCTGGAGGCAGTGGGCCTCTCTGAGGACAGTGAGTTGGGCTGAGAGGGTGGGGATACTGGTGTCCACCCCCCTCCCCACACAGCAGGCAGGCAGGTGCTCACACGCTGGGCAGGTAGAGGTGGTCCCTGGCACGGTGCTGCAGTGAGGCCAGCTTGGACACCTGCTGCAGCTGCTGCTCGCTGGGCCGGCTGGCTGGCATGCTGCTATAGAGGCCCTTCAGGTAGTCAGGCAGCACCTGCAGGGATTGGTCATTCAGACATTTACCTGCAAGGAGACAGGAGTCCAGCCCTGTCTACTTCTGGGTTAGGCCCAGTCACTTGCCTGGGCTTCAGAGAATGATGACAGAGGCATACGAGGGGTAGCTATGAGGGCTGTGGCCTCAAAGCCTACAATGGAGTCTCCATAGTAATGTGAAGAGTATGAGCTATTTAAAAGCAGAGTCTCAGGGCTGAGATTTCAGCTCAGTGGTACAGCACTTACCTAGCATGTAGAAAGACCCCGGATCCATCTCTAGTACCCTCTCCCCAAAGGTAATAACAAGAAAATAAAAGCAGAGCATCAATACTGTAGTGAACACAGTGTCCATTAGGTCTGTGTTTCTTGAAAATGAAACTTGTTCCAGAATCACTGAGAGGCTTATTAAAACTGCAGGACTGTAACTCTGAGATTCAGATCCATAGAGCTGAGGCAGAAACTGAGGTGTTTTTTTTTTTTTTTTCTTCAGGTTTTTGTTAGTCTACAAACTTCCCACCCCTGCTATCTTGGAACCAAGGTCCAGCTTCAACAGGGATGCTATGTGTGGCCACAAAAGCTAAGTGGCTATATTCCATGCATGGAATTGCTGGAGTTCTGTTATCTGTCTCACAAAAAGACTGTGGCAACTGACCTCACAGGTCCCCAGGAGCCCACAAGGTCCCCGAGTGGCAAATGGGCAATGTGGACTGACCTGGTTGTAGTGCATAGTCACATACAGCTCATTCTCAAACTTGAGCGGCTGATCCCAGAGTATGCGCCGGAACCAGAGCATGTAGCCACCATCTACCTGCTCCATCTCTGAGGCCACATCCAGGATGTAGGCAGAGCGGCTGAGCGGGCACACGTGCTGACCTGCAGACAATGGGGACCCAGCACTGCGTGGGGAGACACGGAATGCACCTGTGCAGAAGAATGTAGATCCCAGCCTACCACCCAGGTGACATGCCACCTCCTCACTCTGGAACACACCTTCCTCACTAAATGGTAGCACATTCCCTTGTAATCCTAGATTATAAGGCCTGCCTCTGGGACGCTGAGGCAGGAGAATTGCAAGTTCAAAACCAATCTGGGCAACTTTTCATCTTATAGGACCCTGTCTCAAAATTAAAAAAAAATTAAAAATTAAAAGGGGGGGGATATAGCTTAGTACAAAGGCCTGGAGCTCAATCCCCAGTAGTGTTAAAAAAAAAAGGCATATTTATGCAACAAGGTGCTTTGTATTTCACTGAAATGTAAATCATTTCAAAAGTGCAAGTGATGCTCCTTTCTCCCAAGGAAGGCTCCCTAAGAGACTTAGAGGGTGGCCTGCTAGGGCCTAGGAAGACAGCCCAGGTTGTGTTTGGAGAAAGTCCAACCCCTTTTTGGGGATGAGAAGCACAGCAGGTTTTAGCTCACACAGCCCAGGGATGCCTTCCACAGACCTCCCTTGAAAGACCCTAGCTGAGCACCTGGGAAAGAGCTGCAAGATTTACTTGCCTGCACTGACATTTGTTTGACCAAAGAAGGGCGTTTGGCATGATTATAGACATTTAGCTTCAGGAAGCCAGACTGCTGGGATTCAAATCCCCACCGTATGATGTTGGGCAAATTCTTTAGTTTCTGTGCTTAGCTGATAACTGACCCTCTAAAGACATCCAGTCCTAATCCCCAGAATTTGTGAATATGTCACTTTCATGGAAAAAGTGGCTGCAGATTTGATTAAGGATCTTGAGAAGGGGAGATTATCCTGTCTAATCTCAGTGGGCCCAATCTGAGCATAGGGTTTTTCACAGGGAGGCAGGAGATTCAGAGTCAAAGGAGTGAGAGTGTAAGGAAAGAGAGCTTGGGGGCCAGGAAAGACAAGGATTCAAAGACTTTACTTCTTTGACTTTGGGGATAAAGGAAGAGGCAGTGAGCCAAGGAACATGGCAACTTCTCTAAGATGAAAAAGTAAAGGAAATGTGATCCCCCAGGGCAGTGATGGCAAACCTATGGCACGAGTGCCACAGCAGACTGCTAGTGACCACTGAAACCTCTAAAAGTTTCGCCATTAGTGACTAAGCAACACAGTCCTGATGACACTCTCAGGACTTCTGACTTTCAGAACTGTAAGATAATAAATCTGTAAGATAATAATAAAAATAGTATAATAAATCTGTGTTGTTGTAAGCTGCTGAATTTGTGATACTTTGTTACAACAACCACGGAAACTACTGGTAATACCATCTCTGGAGAGATCCTCTCGGTCACTCACCTTTGTTGGTGACAACGAAGATCACATATTCATGGAAGGCCTCTGGGCATGTCAGAGCCATCTCAGCACAGATCTCCTCCACCACATCCAGGGCCACCTGGGGTGGGACATGAAGGACAAGGCTGTGCCATCTGGGCCTGACCTCTGCCCCACCAGCCCCACCCAGGTCCCAGGAGCTGAGTGTAGAACTCCTCAGCCTCTCTTTACAGAGGTGCATGACCCTTTGAGAGCCCTGAGAGTCTTCCTCATGCAGGGAGAACACAGCCTCTCGAGTCCAAGCCTTAGGTTCAAATTCTATGTTTGTCCCTATTTGCAATATCACCCTAAGCTGGAGGCTTAACCCTCAGAGACTTGGCTTGCTTTTCTGAGAAATAGAGTGACTCCTTAATATCCATGGGGAACTTGTTCAGGACCCCTTCAGACACCAAAATCCAAGGATGCTCAACTTCCTCATCCTAGATTGGGCAATATTTGCATATTATCCTTGAATACCCTCTCATACACTTTAAATTGTATCTAGATGACTTATAATATCTAATATCAATGCTATGTAAATAGTTGTTTTAATGTATTTAGAGAATAATGATAAGAAATAGTTACATGATCAATTCAGATGTAACTGTTTTCAGCTTTTTTGAGACAGAGTCTCTCTGTATAGTCCAGGCCTTCCTTGAACTCACTATGTAGCCCAGGTTGGCATTAAACCCACAACAATCCTCCTGCCTCAGCCTCCTGACTGCTGGGATTACAGGCATGTGCCACCACCCCTGGCTCAGATGTAACTTTATATTTTTCAAATACTTTCAATTTGCCAGTGCGGAACTTGTGACTATGGAGGGTCAAATGTATGTCTTGCCTTGAGGGCTTTGGAAAAACCTCTGAGGGCACCTTGGGGGCTCATTGAACCTGGACCCCAAAGACTGCAGTGTCCCTGCCCTTCCAGAATCTGTCTGCTAGAGCCAACCCCTCACTCACAGTGCATGTTTTGATTTTTAGATGGCGTTCAAGGCCTCCAGGAAGAAGGAAAAGCTGCCTCTTGGAACTGCGACCCGCCTGGGGGATGAAGCAAGAGAGGAAAAAAGCTGGGTGCTGGGGTCTGAGACAGCTGTTGTTTCCTGCTATGGAAGGCCCCAAGCCAGGGGGTCCTGGGCACACATGTGTAGGAGTCCTTGTGTCCCTAGCAGGGCCAACCTGCAAGCCTGGAGCAGCACAAGTACACCCAGCATTGGGGTCTCTGGACAGGTGCATGCTTCCTGCTCATCTCAACTCCTAGCCTGTATCAGCTCACCAACATGGCCCGGAGCTCCATGCTGCTGGGCAGCTCCAGACGTCCCCCAAAGCGCAGAGTCTTCTTCAGGTTCTGCTCACAGACTTTAGCAATTCCTATAGGAGTAGGAGTCAAGGCCTTGCCCAAGGTTGGCACTGAGGAAAAGGGCCTCTGCTTGCCCCCAGCCGTGAGCCCAAAGTACTCTCTCCATAAGCTGTAGGACAGGCATTTCCTTCTCCATTTGATAGTGGAGGACTCCGAGCTCAGCAAGGGCCAGTGATTTGCCCAAAGTCAAGAGCTGGATTGGAACCATGTCCTAAGTGGTCACAACCTTTTGTCTTGCCCTTAGCTATATAAGCCTGGAAACAGCTGTGACCCTGAGCTGTTGTCTGGGAACTCATCCCAGGTAAGCTCTGAGGCTAGGGTAACACACTCTGACTCTGCCAGTTGGGCCCCTTGCCAATTTCTCTGTCTACCCCAGGCACCCATCAGGCTGCAGATCTCTGGGTCCAGCAGGGCCCTCATTTTGCTCTGGGGAGGGGCCAAGAGTTCTAGGACACATTCTGCTGCCTCCTCACATCTGGCAGCCCTTCCTTGGGGAGCCGAGTTTATCTTTGGGTAAGAGAATTTTTTTTTTTTTGTCTTTTTCCTTTTTATCGGTACTGGGGATTGAACTCATGACTGCCTGCTTGCAAGGCAGGGGCTTATGCCACTGAGCTAAATCCCCAGCCCCAAGAGAATATTTTTAATTGAGTCATAGACAGAGAGACTCAGCGGCAGGAAGGGTAAGTAAGCCCCCAATCTCTATGCCTGTTATCACTATAGGATGACGAGAGGGCCCCTAGCCTCTTTTTTAGGGGGCCCTTGGATTGCTGTGAAAATAAAGCTGAAAAGCAGTCTCTTGCGGCATTCTGGAAAGGGCAAAGGTGAGATCATGCCACCAATTTTGAGTCCACTGAAAACCCTTGATGAGTCCCAGCAGGACACTAGATTCTTGCCATGTACTCTCATCTTTAGACATTTGCTTCAGCCACTCAGTCTACCGCCACTCAGTCTACCTGAGAATCATTCCTGCAAGCCCATCACCTAGAACAGTACCTCCTCCGGGAAGCAATCTCTGATCACCCTCACCTTGACATCAGGTGACCCACCACACCAAGCCCTTTGGGGACCCTGTGAACGTTTGGTAACTAAGTTAACATTACCCAGCGTCTTCAAAGGGCCAGGCCTTTTTGGGTTTCTCTCTCACCAGCTCCCTGCCTTGTCCCCACCCGAGTTATGTGAAGCCTTAAGTTCCCACCTGTGGGCTTCTTACCCTGGAAGGGCATGCCCGTAGCTCTGCTCACATGCTGGAGAAAGCGCATGAGGTGTGGGTAGAGGACCTCAGAGCAGCTGTGGTAGGCAGCCATGATGTACAGCAGCCTCCAGCCTCGTTGGCAGCTGTCTCTGGAAGGACACACACAGGCCCCATCACAGGAGGCCACAGCATCACAGGAGCTGCCAGGAGCTCCTTGGGATTAAGCTGGAGGCTTAGATCTGAGACAGCTCCTGTTTTCTGAGGATGTGCCTCCTGGTTAGTAAGCACAAGGCAAATAAATCCCGAGGCCATTAGAAAAGCATATTCTGCTGGGAAGTCAGGGGAAGACAGGGAAGGAAAGGGATGAGGCCCCGAAGTCCTTTCTGAGTAGAGTGTCTGTCTAGGGAGGCTTCTTGGCAAGACAACCTGCTGGGGCTATGTACAAGTAGCGGCAGTAAGGCCCGGGGACAGGCATCCTGTGAAAAGCAGCATGTAGCACACAGGCACCACAGTGTGCTGGCCCTGCCTAAGCGGAACACGGTAACTCATCTTCACAGTGCCTTGGCTGTGGAGGTTTCAACTGTGGGCATCTCTGGTGTCTGGGGAGAGTACTTGGGTTTCTTTTCACAAGCTACCCATCCTTCTCTACATTCCTGTAGTCTGGAGATAGGCATGGGAATCAGGTCTGGCCAATTAGAACACTGAAGCCCCCAACCCCAACCCCTGGCCACAGCCACTGCCTCAAGAATGCATATATGATGCAGGACTGGGCAGTTAGTCTAACCAGTCAACACTTTGTATATTCCAGCCAGTGTGGTCAATTCAAGGATGTGCATATGACCAACTCCAGGCAATAAACCTAGATTTAGGAATTTCTGCAGCAAATACTGGATTGGTTTTGCTTTCCCTAGAGTTGCTATCCAGGGGAAATATCTCCTCATTTCTGTCACTTTGTTAATCTGTGAGAAAGGCTGCTTGAGAATGATATCCACATAGAGGAAAACAGAGCCACGAAATGAAGAAAGCCTTGTTCCTAAAAATAGCTAGATCCAGCCATACCTGAAGCCATATACTCACTGACTTTTTAGCCACCCAAACCAATAAATTCCCTCTTTCATTTAAACAAGTGGATCCGGGTTTCTGTCATCCTAAAGTCTGGATGAAAGGGGGTAGGTCTGGGGAGGCAAGGGACTGAACTGGCCACTCTTGGAGTCTTGACACATGAGGGGTTAAGAGGAATCCCAGATGACTCACTGCTTGGAGCTGGTATTGTCTGTGATCTGCTTCACAATTTGGCAGTAACACTCGTCTCGCATGACCTCATGGTCCTCACAAAGCTGAAAGAGGGTAGGGCAGGTCACATGCCATGGACATAACAGGAGTCATTCAACATATCAGATCCATAACAGCAGCCCAGGCACTTAGAGATAGGCCTGGTGCCCCTTCCCCAACCCCTCCTCAACAGCAGGATGCATTCCTCTTTGGGCCATTTCCCACCCTAATGTCCTGCAACTCTGGTTGACAGCCAGAAACAGAACCACAGAGCAAAGGAAACCTCAGAAAAGTTACCTAGACTCACCTTCAAGAGGGTGCACAGCACATCCAGTTCACTCTGGCCCTTCAGTGGGGCATCCCCCATGAACCTCATCACAGCTGTAGGAAAAACCTGCCCTGCTTAGGCCAACCAACTCCCAGCTGCCCACCTCCCAAGGGTCCCAGGGTCAAACCCATCCCCAGGAGTCTGTGGCCATTGGCAACTGGGGACTTCCATTTTCTTCAATGCATCCCAAGTCTGGGCTGGGACAGGGAAACAATCTGAGGACCAGAAACCTCAAGCAGGTGGCAAGCAGGGATCACACAGTGGCATCTCCTAGAAGGATGACTGCATCCCTGCCCTCATACCTAGGAACATGTCCGTGGCCATCTTGTTGAGGCTGCTGTCACTGAGCTCAATGAGGGAATCCTGGAGTGGGGTCTGTGTGAGAAGGAAGCAGCTGTGTTACAATGGAGGGACGGTCAAGATAGAAAAAGGCTGCGTCATACTACTAAGCCCGTGCCACAAAAGGGGAGCCGGGCCTGACGCTGGGGACAGATGCTGCCCCTGGGAAGAATCCTGGCTCCTCAGGTGCAGAGCTGGAGAGTCTCACTGAGGTCAAGCTTGTTTGCTCTGGGGTAGGGGAGGGGGTGTCTGTATCACCGCTTTACAGACAGTGGAACTGAAGCCCGGGACGAGAGACCTTGCTGAAGCAAAGCATGTCCTCCAAGGTTCTGGACTCCCGGCCCTCCTTGCATTTCGGTCTGAGACCATCCCTGCAACAGGAAGGGGATGCTATTGACCAGCCTTGCCTCGCTGTTTTTAGCAACATCTTTTCTAAGTGGGAATGTTCTTGCTCCACCTGTCAGGTTGGTCCAGCAAGAAGACACCCCGGGGCTCAGGCTGAGCAGACCTCACTCCTCGGTGCTCTCTCACCCCACCCGCCCCACCTGCAGATTTGGACAGCAATAAGACACTCAGAGGAGTCTTCCTTGATGTGGAGAACAGGGATGGGACCGCTACTCACTGGGGCTGCCTCTGAGGGTCTCGGAAATACTTCTGGGCAAACTCAAGCATGGTGTATGATGAAAACTCCAGGGCATCCTCTCCACGGTCAGCAGAACGGGCCCTTACTGGAGGACCCTGCATGAAAAGCAGAGCTAGGAAGGCCTGTCCAGCCATACATCCTACTTTGCCCTCCAGTCAAAGATGATTGAAGGCAAATTCTCACTGATTGAGCCCAGGCTCCCCCTAGCTGCTCACTCATTCACCCATCCAGACATCTGAACCACCGGTGTCCACTTGGCCTCACCCTTTCAAGCCTGCACAACCACCAGTTCTGACTGACCTGTCTTCTGCCCCTATAAACCTTGTTTTCACCAGGCCAGCCCCTGCATGGGGTGGCTGTATTGTCAAGGTGATACCACCCTTTACTCCATTATTTGCATTGATTCCACCCCGGACAGCTCCACTGCCCAGGCCTGCCCTGCCCCACTCACCGGGCTCAGCCCCACTCAGGTTGATTTCACCCACTGACTGGCCGGGGCTGATGCTGGTCCTTCTCTCTGTTTACAACCAACTGACCCCACCTCAGTTGGACCCACTTCCAAACACCCCCGGTCATATCTCATGGGTCACAGCTTGCTGGCCCTATTCCAGGTCTGGTCATGTTTGGGGCTGACCTGACTGCTTTCTACCACTGCGGTCAGGCTACCCTTCCTTACGCCTTGTAGCCTAGTCCCACCACTGGTCTCACCTCTCTCCTGCGGCCCACCTCCTGTGCAGCAGCTGTAGAGGCCACTGCAGCAGCCACGGCTGCAGCACGGCCCCGGCCTGGCTCAGCTGGCAGCTGCAGGAAGTCAGGGGCAGCAGCAGGCTGCACTAGATCAGAAGGGAAGCGGCCCACGCGCCCATGGATCGTCCCGAATCGCCAGCCTAGCAGGTGGGAAAAAGGGTCGAGCTCAAATGGAAGGTCTTTTCTTGAGAAAAAGAGGGACAATCAGGTACTTCTGGGAGCTCTCCCTAGAGCTCTGTAACGAGGACATGCTATCAGCTGTGCCACCACCAAACTATATATCCAGCATTTATACAGTGAGCGTACAGATGAGGAAGCAGGCTCAGGTAAAGGAAGAGGTTGGGCCGCAGGACCATAGTGGGAGGTGGAGCAAATGGGCAAAGTAGCTCTGAGAACTCTCAGGACATGCAAAGACAACAAGGAAGCGTCTAAGCCGTAAACATGAAAACACTGAGGCCTACAGACACCCCTCAGCCACACTTGCAGGCAGAGGGCTGGCTGTATGGCTACCACTGGACACTACCATGCTCAGTATGGACCTTAAAAAACCTAGCCAGGGAGGACTGCTTTGGGGCACTTAGAAACCCTCTTCAGGCATCTGCAGTGGGAGTGCATGAAACTCTATTTAGAGTTCCAGGTTTGAGGCCACCTAGGGTTACCCACCAAAGTCAGGGCCTCTTTTCTGTAGCTCTTCCAGGTACACCACCTTCTTGCGGACCACACAGCCAGCACTGTACCCTGTGGGGCAGCTCATGTCAGCATCTGCCACGAAGGCCCTGCCTCCCCCATCCTCCCCTACACATCGCTGCCCCAGTCCATGGTGCTGACCCACTCGAGGTGGCTGCAGGGGCTGCAGGTGAATGATGTCACCCTTGTGGAAGGCCAGCAGTGCTGGATCCTCAGGCAGGAAATTTCTCACGGCGACCACATAGTCAGAGTCCTGGATCAGCCAGGGCCAGGGTGAGGAGATGTTGTCCTCTCATCCTCTTCTCAGAGGTTCATCTTTCCTGCCTGGCTTTTCCCACTCTCCCCATCACATCAGAGGAGGGAGCACTTCCTCAGTAAGAATAGGAAGAGCATCCCAGGTAGAAGGCACAGCCTGTGCAAAGGCCCGAGGCACACAGAAGCCTAGGGACACAAGCCCTGGCGTTTATACAAACAGGCATTCACGCTTCTTAACAGGTGTGGCTGGGATTGATCCAGGGCAAAAGAGCCTTGTTTTGGGCCCTTCCACACTGGGCAGTGAGGTGCATCTGAGGGAGGATCCTGACCTTCTTCAGCTCCAGAATGAAATCATCCACTAGGGTCTTGACCTGGTGAGCTCGTGCCGAGAAGAGGATGACCTTCTCATTGGCCAGGTTGAACTCTAGCATGTTCTGCGAGGGCATGGTCACAAATAGGATGTCTGCAAAGCTGGAAGATGGCAAGATGGCAAGAAGGTGGGATCCCGCGGCCAGAGAATGCTCGCACTGACCTTTCCTGTTCATTCTGTTTCTGTCTTGTCCCACCCCCGAAGCCCAGCCCCATACTAGTTCCCAAGGTATCCAGGGACCACTTTCCTCCCTTCTATGACTGTCTTCTGTCTTCCCATCACCCTTTGCCCACATGGATCTCTCTTCATCTTTTAAAGCAAGGAAGTTTCACGTAACTAGTTATCAAGGTTCTTCCTGATCTCATGTCAGAAAGGACAAAAAAGACTTCCCACAGAGAAGGGAGTCTGAGCAGCCACTAAGGTCTCACCGCCAGGGCACTGCTTTCCTTCCCAGCTGCCTCATGACCGGCTTGTTTATAGCCCAGTTGCCCCCTGCACAGTGAGCTTTGCAGGTCTGGTATGTGCTCTGAATGGCAGGACAGCGTAATGGGTTCCTAGCTCAACTACTTTCTTCCTGTGTGACTTGACATAAACAACTTCTTTCTGAGTGTCACTTTTCGAAATTCTAAAATGGGCATATTAGGAGATTGGTACATCACAGGTAGGCAGCTTTGGATCAAATGAGGCAATGCTGATGTCAGTTTGTGCCCTAGTCTCCTGCCAGCCCGACTCCCACTTGTCTGCCCATCACCTGTATGCATGCAGGACATGCAGCTGTCCGCTGGCCTCCTGGCTGCTCTTGACCATCCGCAAGAGTTTAATGCCTGTGTGGGACACAGCGAGGATCTGCACACCAGTTCCCACACTGCCCTGGGGTGGGGATGAAGGTCACATGAAGGTCTCTGAGTCTGGGTCCTGAATGCCCTGGGGAGCTGGGAGGGGCAGGCAGGAGTTCCCACCGTAGCAGGGAAGAGGCGAGAGAAGTAGACCTCCCAGCTGTCTCGGGCGGTATCCACCACAGCACGCTTCACACTCTCCGTTACCAGAGGCTGCTGTGTGTCCAGCTGGTTCTGGGCTAAGAGGGGTCACCGGCTCAGGACTCCCTTTCCCTCCGCTGCCAGCCTGCATCTCAGGGGGCTCAGTGAGAGAGACTGACACCCAACAGGAAAGTATCTGACCAGTATCCATACGGGGATACAGAAAGCCAGAAATGAATGGGATAGCTGGGACCACACTGCATGTCAGGAAGTGCTGACTTCAACCATGTAGCCTGGCTACGTGAGAGCTGCAGGCAAGCAAGGAGGGGCACACCTGGGAGGTAGGTGGGCTGGGCCAGTCTGCACCAGGCTCCTGGGAGAGGGCTGGCCAGGGCTCTGGGTAGCAACCCCACTAACATCCCTTTCCACCCTCACCATACCAAAGAGGGCCTTCATCCTGAGCCTCTCATCCTGGGAGATGCGCAGGCAGGCTTCTGAGAGTGTGTCGTGCACAATCTGTAGGAACACGCTGTGATTTGAGAAATCCCTAGCCGGAAACTAGGCTGTACTATTCTAAGGTGCATAGGAATTGGGCATCCCATTTTGCAGCAGTGACATCATGTGTAAACTGGATCCTCTGTGTAAATTAGATTCCACTTACAGAGGTACTCTCTCTTCTTACCTTTGCAATTTTTTGTGCCCTTCCCAGGCCTCAGTTTTCTTAGGTGTCCAGTGGAGTTTGAATTTGACCTCTGAGCCCTGCCTAATTCAAGTAATTTCCTTTTTTTTTTTTCCCTTGTACTGGGAATCAAACTTAGGACCTTGTACTTTCCAGGCAGGCACTCATGTCACTGAACTATGTCCCTGCCCCCATCTACTTCAGATAGACTGTGACCCTGGTTCAATTGAATTGTGGGCTCACTGATCATGTCCACAGGAGTGTGAGACTCGGCATAAGGTCTTCCCAAGCTCAAGGACCCCGCATACCAGAAGGTAAAGCAGAATTCAGAGCCAACGTTCCCATTGCCCTATGGGAACAGTAAAGCAAAAAGAGAAGGTAAGTTTTACCTGTCGGAACAGGAGGTCTAGCTGCACAGGGTGGTTGTAGTTGTCCTTGGGGTAAAACACCTGCAGGACAGGGCTTCGGTGGGTATCTTTCAACTGCCCCTTCAACTTGATCACACTATCCCACTCCTCATCGGTCCCTCCCGGGTTCTGGCTCTGCCCCTCGCTCCAGCACCACCCATCCCATTTTCCTGGGCCAGCACCCCAACTCCCCGCCATGCTTCATCTCTGAGGGGCCCTTCCCGGGCTCTGGTCTGGGTTTGCTAGGGACCTCTTTGCGCAGAAAGATCCGCCAGGGGGCGTTCTGGTAGCCGTAGAAGTTAGGGTTGATGAGGCGATGCAGTCGGGTCTGCACGGGCTCCTCAGCGGGTTCCAGCGACCTTGAAGGCAGTGCTGGAGGCAGCAGCGGGGAAGTGAGGGGAGAGGAGGCAGGAAGGGGTAGGGCGGGTCGGGGAGGGAACCCGGGAGCAACCATGAATCCCCAGACATCCGCTCTGGTGCACGCACTCATATAACTCAGGCCTTCGTTCTACAAGTACTGCATAGGGAGCTCCTAGAAGCCTAGTAGAGAATGTCTTGGTCAACATGATAGACAGGGGTCCGGCTCTGGACTTTAGTGTCTCACGGCAGGTACAGATGGAAACAAGACTTAGTGATACAAGCTGGTGCAGAAGTACTCTAGGGTTAAGGCAGGAAAGGGTCGGCAGGAGAGCTGGTTTGGAAGGATCCTTTAGAGCAGATGGTATCAGCAAATCTCTCTGAAAAGATGATATTTGAACTGAGGCCTCAATAATGAGAAAGGGCCAGGCACTCAGAGATGGTGGGGAAGAGCATGTAGGCAGAAGGAAGGGCAAGTGCAAAGGCCCTGAGGCAGGAGAAGGATGTGCCCAAAGAATGATGAGAGGAGATAAAGATGCTGAGATGCATAGAAAGATCATGCAGGGGGCTGGGGATTTAGCTCAGCGGCATAAGCACCTGCCTTGCAAGCAGGCGGCTGTGAGTTCAATCCCCGGTACCGATAAAAATGAAAAAGACAAAAAAAAAAAGATCATGCAAGAGAATTTCAAAGACCACAGTGAGGAATTTGGAGTTCACTGTAGGAGCCAGTGGAGGGTCTTTGCCAGATGCATGTGAATGAACTTTTATATTTTAAAATCACTGTGGCTGCTGTGAGATAGAGGTTGCAGAGGTTAGGAGTCCAATTGTAATGGTGAAATCACTTAACCTCTCTGTGCCCCCACTATGTAACCTGTAGGAACAACTGGTGCTGCCTAAATGGGTCTTAGGAGGACTAAGGGAGGCTAGGGTGGACCTGGCCTGAAGTCAGTGCAGTTTCACTGTGGGTATAACCGTATCAGTGTTCACATGATATATACACGTGGGCTGAGGAACACAGACACACACGCCACTGACACTCAAGTTCACCTGCGCTCAGACTTACTCAGACACTGGGATACCTGCCTGCTCACCCCCCCTCCCCTCTCACCTGGAGTTGGCCCCATGGACATCTTTGGTACGCTGGTCACTGGCTTCACCAGGGCCACCGCCTCTCTGGACACCTGTCTCACCCCAAAGAGAGTGCTCAGGGGGTGACGGGTAGGCCCCACGGAAGGCAGCTGCAGGCCATGGCTGGCAGACGAAGCTGGTTTCTGAGACTCCTCAGAATCCCCTCCTTGTCTGTTCCACCCTGCCCTCACCTGAGTGCCTGGTGCTGCTGCCAGGTGAGCCATCTGCTCCTTCAGGAGCATCAGGGCCTCCTCATGAGGGTCAGGTCGCTTCATGAACACTTTCCCACCATCTTTCCTAGTAATGGAACCACGGTGAATTGGACAGAATCCTACCCCTACACATTTGCTACAACAAGGCAATTTGCACCATCACCCCCATCATTTTAAATGAGAATCCAGAGAGGGACAGAAGCTGGTCTGAAGTCACACTGCACAAGGGAGAAAACAGTAGTCTGCTCTGCTGGGGTCACTGGCATAAACAAACTCTTCTCCTTCGAGGGAGATCCTCAGGTGCAGTGAAAGACCACAGGCCAGGGGCTGGGGATTTAGCTCAGCGGCATAAGTGCCTGCCTTTCAAGCAGGCAGTCGTGAGTTTGATCCCTGGGACCGATAAAAAGGAAAAAAAGACAAAAAAAAAAAAAAAAAGACCCCAGGCCAGTGACTCGAAGGGCAGGTGCTGCTGACCTAAGGGCCTCAGGGCGGGTCCCCCGGACTGGCTGATGGTACTGCCTGATGATGTCTCTGATCTGCTGTGTGGGCTGTGGGAAGTGTTCTGAGTTGAGTGTGGAGTATCGGACCAGCTCTGGGAAGGCTGATGCTGTGGGTGAGAGGTGGGAGGAGAAAGTGAGGCCACAAGGACATAGCCACACCCATCTATCCTGGGAAGCCCCTCAGACTGTGGTGGACACTCACTGCTTTCTGGTGAAGCTCGGTCCTGAGCTAGAATAGGAGCAGCCACAGGCTTGGTGGGGGGTCTTGGGGCCTTGGCCAGAAAGACTGGAGTCACAGGTGTTGGAGAGGACCTCAGGAGCACAGGTTTGGCAGGGGGACCAGAGCCTACACACTTCGGCCACGCCTCTGGTGCTATGGGTTTCTGCAGAGAGCAGGGCATGAGGGGGACTGCTGGGACACACCAGCTGCTCTCAGGGACCTTGTCCACCCAAGATGGACTGTGGGGCTCCATAGTTCAGAGAGGCACAATGATTTGGAGCAGCACAATGCTCCTGTTCACAGCTCTGAGGGCCTCTCACCTTGGGCATACCAGGCTCACCTCTGGGGGCAAGGGTCTCAGGGAAGGGCTCAGGGGCTGCTGCTGGAGTGCCATGGCTTGCAGGGTCATCTCCCGGGCCTGGGGAGAGGTGGTGGGGTTCACTAGGCATCCACCACCCACTCCCACCCCCACAGTCCCTGCGTGACTCACAAGGAGCACAGCCTGTTTGTGGATGAAGGCTTGCTGCAGAGCCAGCGTGGAGGTGTCCAGGCCAGGGACTGGGGAACCAGGCAGAAGGCACAATGAGCCAGGAAATAGAACTGCAAGCCCCTGTTCTTCACCAGCTACCATGCCTGTGTCTGCCTTTATTCAGCCCACGTAGGTGCCTGAGGGTCAGTGGGTCCCCCCTACCCTCCCTGGAGCCACCCTGGGGAGGCACTGACTTAGCTTTGGCTTTGGTTCTGGGACTGTCTTGAGGGGGTCTTCAGGACTGCCACATTCGCCAGGCTGGCCGCCTCCTTTCATGCGGTAGGCAATGGCTGTAGGCTTCTCCAGGTCCTGGGGGCAGCAGGTAGCTCGAGTGACCGCCTCAGTTTGCACTCCTGAGGCTCCATAGCAACAGGTACCTGACACCTGGCCAGTTCCTCCACTCTGAGGGGAGCTCCTGCTGGCTAAGTATCTGCTCTATGCAGTGTTTACCCACAAGGCACCCCAGTTGGTCCTCCCCACAATCCAGCAGATCTCTTCCTTTACAGAGGGGTAGACTGAGGCTCAAAGAAGAGTTGTGCCCTGCTGAAGGCTATATATCATGCCAGAGATCATTGAGGAAATGGGAGTTTCAGGGGCCCCAGAGACCAAGGTCACCCACTCCCATGGAGACTTGGCTGCCTCAGAGGTGGGGAAGGGGTCCTACACTTCTTTTTGGGGGTCCTCCTGGGGTCAGCCAGGAGCATTTCTAGCTGCAAGGAGACCGTCATCCTCTTCCCTTTCCCCAGCAGAGACTCAGACAGGACACACCATCCCACGGCCCTGGCTGTCTGAAGCTTCATGTCACCATGAGTATGCGTAAATCGGAGGGTACACTGAGCTGCTGTCACTCAGTGCCCCGCCCTGTTCCTACCACATCCCCGTAGGATAACACGGGGTTGAAGAGGCTGTCCAGGTAGCAGTCCAACCCCCTGGGGGGCACAGTGGGCTCTCCAAGGTCATCTGAATCTGGGTGCAGGGTGCACAAAAGACATCACATTCATTTCTCCTGCCAGTGTCCACTCCCCTATTGTCCCCTCTACGCTCCATCCCCACCAGAGACAGTGGCCACTGGTGCTGACCTTGATGGGTTGCCGTCCCTCTCTGGGCCTCAGGCTCCCTGTTTGTACTGTCCTCACTGTGGCTGCAGTAACCCTCTGAGTCTGGCACTTTAGATGCGTGGCCCTGAGGCTGGGGCCTAACAGGTGTGTCTTCATCTGAGTCCCAGCTGTTCCCAAACAGCCTGTGGGGAAGGGGAACACAGAGCAGCTGGCCCACAGCGACCCACCGTCCCCAGAACCTCCAAATATCCTCAGGACTGCTGGGTGCCAGGTACTTAGGAAGACTGCAGGAGGCCAGAAGTTCCAGGCCAGCCTGGAAAATATAGCAATACCCATCTCAAAACAAACAAAAACAGAGGCCAGGGATATAGCTCAGGGGCACAAGTGTCTGCCTAGAAATCACAAGGTCCTGTTGGATTACTGGTATAAAAAAAATCAAAACAAACTAAAACAAGAAAAGAAGAAGAGGAGGAGGAGAAAGAGGAAGAGAGGGAGAGGGAGAGGGAGAAGAGGAGGAGGAGGAAAAGGAAGAGGAAGAGGAAGAGGAAGAAGAAAGAGAAGAAGGAGGAGAAGAAGACCCTTAGATCCAGCCTCTCCCAGCAGGGAGGTAAAGCCTTCTGCCTGGGAGAGGCTGGACCTGCGAGGGTACCGTTAGCTACCTACACTCTGGGGCCACCCCTGCTGGCCACAGGCCCTTCTGCACCCACGATGAAGTAGGACTTCTGTCGTGGAAAGTCCTTGGGGAGCTCCAGGTCTGACACCAGGTCCAGCACGTAGTCATGGCCAGCCAGCTCCGCCCACTGGACACCATTCTTCATGGCTACTGTCCAGCCCCGCCAACCATCAGTCAGCCCCCTGGTGACAGGGTAGGGGGATGAAACAGAGATGAAACCATCAAGCAATTCGTTGGGAGACCTTGGAGTGTGAGTCAGATGCTGGCCATGAGGAGGCTGGAACCCCCTGAGGAATCCAGCCTCCTCCCCTCCCCTCCCTGCTTCCCAGGGGCACAATGGTGTGCTGGGCAGGGCATTCTAGGAGCCAACCTGTGCCTCAAGATGTCTCCAGCCATCTCTTCTCCAGTGCTCCAGGAGTGCACTGGGCAGGAGAACTGGTCACCTGGGATAGCACAGGGATGGGGGTCAGTCTAGGCACTTGTAGTCTAGCCTTGATGGCCTCCCTGCCAACCGCTTATTCTGGGCTTCCAGACTCTGATCATGGGGCCTATGTTTGCATCACTGCCAGGGCCCCCCGCCCCCTGAGTGCAGCTCCAGCCCTACACCTGACTTTCTTGCAGAGTCACATCTGAGTGGGCCCTTTCCAGCCCCTTCCCAGCTCCAGAACATTCTCAGCTACTGCTGCCTCCAGTCCATAAGGCAGAGACAGGGCAGCTCACCATTGAAGCAGTTCACATCCAGTGCCATGCTGGCCTTCTCATGGATGGTGATCCACTCAAGCTGGGTCAGGGGGAAGGTGCGGGCCACCCCTGAGCCTTGCTGTTGGGTCTGGCCCATGGCCTGCATGAGACGGTGCTGACACACAGCCTGGAAGCCATTCCGCCCATAATCAGACACAAACCTGATGGGTAGGAGTTGGAGCCTGAGTATCCCAGGTAGCCCAGGTAGCCCACAGCTCGAAGGTGAGCCTGGGTTAGTTTGGGAGGGTCCTTGGTTATAGCCTAGAACTCTGGGATAGAGTGAAGGGATGAAAATCCCTGGATACCCCAGAGTTCATAGCTAAACTGAAAGAGGTTTAATCTAGCCCAGAAATACATCTCAGGGCGGCATAGAGATCCAGGGATAGGCCAAGGGGTTATGACTTGTTAGAACATTGTCAGAGTAGGGGTCTACAGCTGAGAGTGGGCAAAAACTGGACTCTAAAGGACTCTGCCCCCATTCTTTCACCAGGTAGCATATGGTGGTCATATGTCCTCTCTGGGCCTCACCACCATGCTCTCATTTATGTAAGAGATGGCCTGATGGTTCAGCTCAGCTTGGAACCCATGTGCTCACTCTCTATCAGGCTGTGCTTGGCCTTCTCTGCCCCTGCCTCTGCCAGGAGCAGCTGTAGGGCAGGCCTGGAGCAGCTAGGGAGGGAATCCAGGGCCAAGCCCATCAGAAGGTAGGCAGTGACCCTACACTGCTGCTGTAGTTACCACAGTCATGAGCTTGGTCAAGCAATGACCATCTACTGTGCATTGGCCTGAGTGAAGCTCTGAACACAGCTACCCTGCTAGTGGGATCCTGTTACTATCCACAATTTGCAGGAGAAGCAAGTTCAGAGAAGGGCAGTGACTGGCCCTGGGCCACTCAGCTGGTAAGTTTCAGAGCTGGAATCTACACCTAGGCTGGCCTGAACGCTTTCCTTGGGGTCATACTTCTCACCCAGTAGCAGGGTAACATCATCACAGCATCCTCATCATAGCTATGCCCACGTGGTACTTACCACATGCCCTGTCTCTGCTTTGGGCACTGCATGTATGTTCATTCATTTCATTCTCACAATAGCCTATGAAGTAGGTACCATCATTACCCTCATTTTACATGGGAAGAAATTGAGACTCAGAGAGGTTAAGTAACTTGCCTAGGATCACAGAGCCCTTCCAAGGATAAGCTGGGATTTGAACCCAGAATGTTAAAGCCCAATGTCTATGCTCCTTGCCCCCACGACTTGGTAGGTCACCACCTTTCCCAATCCCCATGTCTGGTCTTGTCCTCTCTAGGTTTTGGAAGCCCTTCATCCTGTCTGCCCTGACTCCTTCCCTCTACAATGAAGCCTGCGGCTCTTGCTCTGGGCCCAGTGGAGACCAAGTGCCATTTTTGGTTCATGTCTGCCCTGTGCCTTCTCCCAGAGACTTTGCACCTCAAATCCATCCTCACCTGGCCCCACCAGGCCAACTCACTTGAGGAGAAACTTGTCAAGGCGTGAAGACGGAGCAAAGCAGCTGAGGCAGGCGGCCAGGAGCAGCCAGCCACGTACAGCATTGTGAGCATTGTGATTGTGCCACACCTGGTTGGCCAGCTGGGCTAGGATCTCGTCCCGTAGCTCAGGCACCACTAGTCCCTTCTGCACGATATAGTTCCCAAAGATGTTCTCCTGGGCACCATGCAGGTGGGGGTCACCCATGAAACGCAGGATCTAGGTCACAAACAAGACTCCTGTGGGCCTCTCAGAGAGCTGTTCCTGCCAGATCCCCATCCTTCAACAGGCATCCCTGTCCTGCTTCTCCTATGGGCCACCCCACCCATATGAGTCCCTCATAACATGGCTGTCATATTCTATGCCAAATGACTAAACAGTTCACGCCAGCTATGGGGAAAGTTAAGATGCTCTCAACTGACCACACTAATTTCCTCTTTTCTCTGTGCCTGCCTCACTCTCCCTGCAGGCAAATTCCCCTTTAGCTCAAATGCCTTCCTCCAGGAATCCTTCTATGGCACTGTCCAAGGCTGAGTTAGGGACCCCAACTTCACTCCCCACCTCTGTGCCTCCCACTGCACAGGCTGGTGGTTACTGGTTAGTCTCAGGGGATGCCCTTCCCCAGACTGAAATGTCCTTGAGAAGAGGACACATTTATGTTGCTGGAAGGCTCCGGAAAGACTCAACCCGAGGCATCTGTTTTTCTAGGAAGATGACTGGGAGAAGGAAGACCATTAAAAGTGAAGACAGATCCTTTTACAGACATAAAAGTCTCTTCTCCAAAGAGAAGTGGGGACCAGGGATATAGCTCAGCAGCACAGCACCTGCCTAGCAAGCATGAGGTAGGGACTGCAATCCCCAGGGAAGCTCATGAATTGGGTTCATGGAGGGCCTAAGAGGACAGCGCCTGGGGCCTCACGGCCAGGAGCCCATACCAGCTTGAAGACATTCACAGCCTCTGCATGGTGTTCAGCTGGCAGCCGCATGAGGGGTGTCTTCAAGGGCGCTGTCAGCATCCCGAAAGCAGGCTCCTGAGGGCAAAAAACAGGGACGTAAGGAGGTAGTACAGGGACTGACAAGCACTGTGCCAGGGTGCATCTGTCCAGAAGGCAGGCTCCTGTCTGCAGTGTGTGGATGGGGTCACAGGGTGGACAAGAGCAGGCAGCGGCCTCAGTGAGTTGTGATAGAGGCAGAAGGATCCACCACCTGGGAGCTTGAGGGCAGGAAATGAGAGCAGGACAGGTTCCACAGCTCTCCAAGTCCTTCCATTTCTGCAGGCCAGCCTGAGGGGTAAGGCACTACCTGAGTCCCAAGGCCTTCCTACACTCAGGCCCCGGCATCCCAGATGCCAATGATCCATACTCTGCACCATGGAAACACACCCCCAGGGGAGGGCCATATCCTATCTTTTTTCTTCTAATTTTTGTACTCCTGAGCATGAAACTCAAGGACTCTATCCCTGAGCCATACTCCCAGCTCAAGAATGATGTCAGTTCTGACTGTGGTCTGTGCCCACTGGCCAGGGCACCTTGGCCAATACCAGACCTTACCTTGAAGTAGCACCGGACAAACTTGGCCATGGGGTAGTTGTTGATATCTAGGGGCAGTGTGACTCGGGGTTCAGTCTGGAGCCGGGGTGTCCGCATAGGGGCCACTTGAGGGACCTTGGGCAGCCTGAGGCCTATAGAGAGTGAGGCATGAGGTAACTTCACCCTCACCCGCATTCCCTTCCCTATTGTCCAGAGCTAACATACCTGCCACTGCTTGCAAGAGCACAGCCAGCTCGGCTGGGACCTCCAGGTGTCCCACGGCCACCACTTCCCGCTTGCTCAGCTCCTGGGGAACAGCAGATAATGAGGGAATAGCCTGCTACACTCCCACCTGGCAGTCTCCCTCCCTGTCCCCTGCTGCCACCCAGAGCTGCACCCACCTCCTGCTCCCGCAGCCGCACCTCCTCCACCCGGCGCCTGCGTTCTGCCCTCAGCTGCAGGAGAGCAGATGGTCAGGGCAGGATGGCAGGCAGAGACGCTGGCGGCCCAGGCAGGGCAGGCCAGGCTCACAGAGTGGCTGGCATAGGAGGGGCAACTTTGTGCAGCTGCAGCCTGAAGGCCACTCCTCCTTTCAGAGAGGAGCAGAGCTGGCCGAGGTGGCCAGAGAAGCAGGAAGGGGAAATGAGAAAGAGAGAGAGAGGAGCAGACAACGAGCAAGACTTTGGGAAAAGACACACGGGAGGACTCTGGGAGCTCTAAGCAGCGAGCATCATGCAAACAATGTCCCTTTCCATCATGTGACAAAACCTTGAGTAAAAGCTATGTAGTCCCTCCATGACTTGGGAATGGCATTTGTCTTCCTGGCAGTTCGTTAATGTGACAATGGGCTGGGTCTAATCCCAAGGTCAGAGCCAGACCATAGCCAGGGATGCTCAGGTGACCAAGCTGTGACTGTGTCCAATTCCCACAGACCCCCAACCCCAGTTCCAGGCCAGTCTTCCCCATACCACATCCCAACTGACTCTCTGCACCAACCTCAAGGGGAAGATGGGAAGTTGAGGCCACAGAGGGACCAAGACTACACTGCTTTACGTGGCAGAGTGGGGACTGGAGCCCAAGATTATCTGAAGTCAAAAGTCTTTTCCATTGGGAGCGAGTACCTCCCCTACCATAGACCCCTGCACTCAGGCCCTGTACCTTGAGGTAGCGCCGGTGGTCCATGTACATGTGTACCAGGGCTCGGAACTTAATCAGGCTCCTTCTCATCTGCTGGTAGCGTTGCCTGGGGACCGGGGAGTTTAACCAAAGGTGACAGGGTGCCCAAGGGGCAGTGGTGCCTCTGCCAATTGTGTCTGGGAGCCAGTGCCCACATCTCACTCTGGGACCCTTGCTGAATGGACTCCCACTGAGTTAAGAGGGCCTGGCAGTGGGTAAAAGGACACCCAAAAGCAGAAACATTGAGAATCGAATCATTCTTCCTGCAGAGGGTCCTCTTTCCACAAGAAGCTCACTGCTTGAGTTTCAGCATGGCCTCTCCCAAGCCTGAGCACAGGGTCCCAGGGAGTCCTGCTTTCTTTGAGCCCCACCTGGCAAGGTAGCCACGCGCTCGGCTCTGCAGCAGGATGATCTTACGGCGCAGAGAGCGAAAACGCCGCTGGATGAAGAAGCCACGGAGGTGGCGCTGCAATGTGAGGGCTGCCAGGTTCAGGACGTGCTCCCGCATGCTTTCCAACAGCTGGTGCAGATGTTCCTTAAGGAACAGCTGGGGACAGAAAGCAGGTACGAGGTGGGTAAGAGCCAGGAGGCTGAACCTCCCACTCAGAGGTTCATGGAGACAGGGCAGGGTAGCTGCCAGGAGCTGGACTGCAGGGAGGGCTGAGTTCAGGGAGGTGAAAGAAAGGAGGCTGGTGCCCAGGGAGGGAAAGGATTCCACGTGGCCAGCCCAGTGGGATGGTTTCCAGGACACAAATCTTATTTTAACTTTGATGATACAGAGAACACTGAGCTAAACATCCTCAGCCCGTTTTAAAAATTTGATTTTGAGAGAAGGTCTTGTTAAGTGTCCAAGCTGGGCTGGAACCTGTGATCCTTCTGCCTTGGCCTCCTGAATAGCTGGGATGGTACATGTGCCACCACTCCTGGCTGGGACAGAAATCCTTAGGGGGGACCCTTCTGACTCCCAAGCCTATATAGTTCAGGGCCTGTACACTTGGGGTCTCCAGGGACTGAACATGGGACTGAACTCACCTTACTAACCCCAACTCGGTACATGTTTGGCATGACTGTACACAGGCGGCTCAGCACTGACACACACATGTCCCCGTTAGCTGGTAGGTTGTGCTTGAGGGCCACCAGGCAGCGATACCTGTGGGGGTCCAAACTCAGCCCAAAGTTCTATCTATGCCAGGAGCCTAACAGGCCACAGGGTTACCACCCCAGCCCTGTGTCCCAGAATCTGGATCCCAGTGCTGGCCTTATTGATAGTGTCAACTAATCAGAGAATGTCCTCAAGAATACTGGATATCATAAAATTTTAATAGGCAATTTCAGTAGAATAAGACATTTTACTGCCATCTGCTGGACAGTTGTCATAATAACTATTAAAATCACCCTTCTATGGCATCAACATTAGATACTCCAATACTGAATTTTTTTCAGTAAAATAATATTTTTCAGTAAAATAATAAATATATCTAATATATCATGTAATAGCTAGAATGAGTCTTATAGAGTATACAACCTGCACAACTATGCATTTTTGAGTGCTATGTTGTCTGGGTTGTGAATGCCTAGGGTCATAGGGGCTTGGGTAGGGGTCCACGAAACTCAGGAGCTACCTTAACGGAAATACCTGTCAACAAACACCTGGAAAGGCAGCCGCACCGGGAAGCCCTCCTTACGGATCCGCACAGTCTCCAGAACCCCCGAATAGCGTAACTGGGTCATCACCACATCTGGCTCAAAGAGACCTGGCTCCTGGAGGGGTGCCCAGAGAGGGATTCTATGCGGTGGCCCACCCATGTGCAATGGCACTGTCAGTGGTGAAGTTTCCACAGGAGCCAGGCAAGTGGAGGTCTAAAGAGGCCAAGCCACCTGTTCAAGGTCACACAGCACAGGAGGATTTGGCTTTCCCAGAGGCCTCGGCTCTCACTTACCTTCTTGTGGTTGGGCTTCAGGCAACGCACGAACAAAGGGTTACACCTGGGCAAGGGCAGTAGGAGGGCAGTGTGAGATGTCAGAGAAGAAGGATGCTCACCTACCGAGGATCTTGGGTGCACTAAAGGTGAGGTTGGTGTTTTTCCCCCCCTACCTCTCCATCTTTTCCACCAGATCCAAGAGTGATTGTTGGAACTTGGCAGCCACTGTGTGTGCTTTGTAGAGTCGGGTCATGGAGCTGCTCTTGCCCAGTCGCTGAGGGGCAGCCTGTGGAGCATGGCTGGAGAAGAGGTGTGCCACCACCTGGGCAGGTGTGCCATGGCCAGGAGAGACAAGGTGACAATCAGGGGAAACGGAGAGGTAAGGGCCAAGAAAAAGAACAGAGGATTCAAAGGCCTGAACTGAAGGACTCTGAGAAACAATTAGGCTTCTGCCTTCTCTGCCATCCTGGCTTGCTTACTTTTCAAAAAAGGGGGCTTAGCACCCATCCCACAATGGGACTGGCTTTTTCTCTTTTACTCTGGGGAACACAGTCACCGACTGTACCTGCCCCTGGGGGTGGCCTATCATATACAGGGCTGTGAACTCTGCCTGATGACCTCAGGAGGAGTGTGGCCATTTGACCTGAAGAGGAAGTGGAGAACCGAAGGGAAATGATGCAATCTGACCTGCGCTCTGACAGAAGGCCATCTGCTGACCAGTAGAGGACTAATGGGGGGGCCTCACCCAGCCTTCAGGGAACACAATCAGGCCCCCAACATCTCCCTCTCTGCCTCATGGCAGCACTGGGGAGAGGGTTCAGACAAACAGTTCAGAACCCAGTGGGCAAGGAAGAGGTGAGCTGGGTTGGAGGAATGACATGACCAGGCAAGAACCAGTCAAATAGGGAGGGAAGGGGCGGGTTGAGGCTGATTGGATACAGGATGCAGGTTGGAAGCACTCTGGCTGCACTGGAAGCGGGCCTCGCTCACCCTCGTCCGACTCCGTATGAACAGGTCCAGGACATCCTGGCGCACCTGGTCGTGGTTCTTGTCCAAAAACTTGTGCACCTGGAAAATGGGGCCGGCAAGGGAATAGGGGGTAGACTATGCTAGCTCTGACACTGCCCTGTACCACACAGGTGCAGGGCAGAGGCATAACCCACCCCGGGATGTGCCAGAGACTGTTTCCTACTCCTTCTCCTGCTTCCTCCCTCCTGGTCAGAGACTCTTGTGCCCTTGGTAACCCTGGCCCTGCCTCCACCAGACCTCTGTCTCTGTCTATCACAGGACTGGACCCAACTCATTGCTGTGGCCTCCTGGTCCAGCCCCACCACAAGCCTCACTCCCAGGAAGGGGCATCAATCTTGGCTTCACAGGACCAGTCTCTGCCCTGTCCCCAGGTGCCAGACTGCCAGGGTTGGAATACATCCGATAATGGTGATATCATTACCAAAGTAGATACTTATGATAAGCTCTACCCTAGGCTTCTCATATGCACCTAGGAGATGGGCACTGTTATCCTCATTTTCTAGAAGATACAAACTGCAGCTCAGAGAGATTAAATGACTTTCCTAAAGTTGCACAGCTAGAAGCTGCAGTATGAGTTAAAATGAGGTGTGTGTGGCACCCACAGTGTGCTTTCCATTTCCAGCTTGCAGGGGAAATGCAGCCCCTACACTCTGGGGGCTGTTTTGCGTCTCACCTGATAGGTGACCTTGCCTGCGTAGTGTTTGATGGTGAACTCAGGTAGCGGCATTTTGGGCTTGGAGTACAGTGGGTTGGCGCCATGGTGGTAGTGGCACTTCTGCAGGAATGTGTGGTCTGTGGCCTGGGGATAGGTGGGGATTAGCGGGTGGGCACCTTTCTCCTGACCTACTAGCAAATTCTCCATCCCTGACTGCTCCCGAGGGCTGTGGAGAGGAACAACTCATAGCTTTCTATGGCTGCCCATAGCCCTGGGTGGAGAAGCAAGCACCTCAGTCAGATACTGGAGAACCTAAGTGGACCCCTGCAGACAAATGTAGCTGAATCAGCTCCCAACAGCCTGTGGCACTCCCACTCTGTCAGGATTTGAAGCTCCTCCAGGAAGTCCTCTTGGGTTTTTCAGGATGGTGCAACCCTTTCCCTGGATGTCCACGTGTCCCCCCCTCCCCCCCCCCCGTCTAGTATCAATCACCTATGTTGTGAATCGTAGGGTGGAGTCTCAATTCCCTACTTTCCATTCAGAGAGGGACCCAAGGTAGGATGAGGCCCAGGATTCTCAAAGACCTTAGGGACCCGAGCAGGTATACGAGTAGCACAACTCACCTGTGGGAAGCAGCACTGGTCATCGAGGATACGCAAGATGCCATAGGGTCTAAGAGAGATGAGATTGATGCAGGGCTGATTGTCAGCAAAGGAGATCTCCCGCCAGTCAATCTGCTCACGGATGTACTCCTCCTGCAGACATCAGGCAGTACAGGCTGAGTCTCTTGGGCTTGCCCAGACCCTATCCAACCCGCCTCTCAAGCTGACTAGAACATCTCTGCTTGCATATTTCCTCCCTCCAGGTCAGAGACTCTTGTTCCCTTGGTAACCCTGGCCCTGCCTCCACCAGACCTCTGTCTCTTGGAACTTGCTCCCAAACAGAGCAGTCTGAGCAAAAGGTCAAAAGGACCTCTTTCTAGAGGCCCTCTCTCTGCATTCAGCACCTAGCACATACACCTCCAGAACACAAGGCTTCTTCGCATGGGCTAGTCCCTGCCCAGAATGCCTTTCCCTGCACTTGTCTCCCAATGGCCTCCGAATTGCTCTTAGAAACCGGTATGTTCTTGTCTGTCTCCAAAGAGGTCCACCGGCCAGTAAGGATGGGAACAGGACGTTCACAAGCTGCACACCTGCTCCTCCTGGAAGATGATCTTGTTGAAAAGGTACTGGAGGTTCTCATTGGCATAGTTAATGCACAGCTGCTCAAAGCTGTTGAAGCTCAGGTCCTGCAGAGGGGGCAGTGTGTGGCAGGCAGGCTGGTACCCCTTGGTTAGCAGCTCATTTGTCCCACCTTGGGCCCTACCCACTCAGGCCCTCCTTGTCTTTCACAGAAGCAGCTTTATGAGCTGAAGCCTGATCACAGAACCTGCTCAGACCTGCTCTGGGCCCACTACCCCCAGGACACTACCTGGCAGTTCAGGTCCTGGCAGCACAAATAGAAGCTAAAGCTCAGGTCATGGATAGAGTCTTTTGCTTGGATTTGAATCCTGCCTCTGCCACTTTCTAGCTGAATGGCCTCAGTTTGCCCATTTGTAAAATGGCTTACCCATTTTTCCTGCCTTACAAGTCTGTTATGAGATGAACTGAATTAATATTAGCACCTGGCATGTAACAGGTGTTGTGTGAATGTTGTTACGGCTTCTATTACTGTGACCTTGCGTGTCTCACCATTTCCCCTCTGTGCACTCAACACAGCAGCACCCCGGAAAGACATCAGTCTTTGACACCAGGCCCTACCACATGCCCTGGCCTTTGTTGCTGCTGTTTCCTCCCACAGAATACCTTTACTGCTTTCAGGAATGTCTTCTCCTCAAGGAAGCCTCTCTGGCCCAATTCCTGCAGTGCTCACCTTGCACAGGGCCACTTGTCTCAAACCTCTGATCACATGGACCCTTCAGAATCTATCCCGACCCCAATTCAACCCCACTGAGAAGCTCCCCAAGAGTAAAAGCCTGGTCTGGGCCTTTCTGGGATCCCCAGTGCTGCCCAGCACAGGGCCAGGTACTGGGTTGAGAAGGCAGCAGAATAGATTGGGTAGGTGATGGTGGGAGGAGGCTGTCATCATCAGGGGTATGTGAGCAGGAAGGGCAGGCAGCAATCCTTCACCTATGTCTCCCCTGCCACCGTCCACACAGCCCCACCTCAAAGCCATAGATGTCCAGGATGGCAATGGACAGCGTGTCCTGCTGTGGGGATACCAGGGCATTGACTCTGGCAATCAGCCAGCCGAACAGCAGTGAGTACAAGACCTTGGCGATAGCATCCCTGGAGGGGAGAGGCAGTGCTGGGGCGTGTGGCACAGGATGGGGTATTGGGGTCTAGGGGCTCAGGCAGGGAGGGGCGTAGCCTCACCTGGCATCCACAGCACTTTCCACAGTCAGGGGCGTGAAGATCTTCTCTCTCATGGTCTCCTGGGGAGGAACATGGCTTTTGAGTGGCAGCAGGCTGGCCACTGCCTCCAGGAAGCCCCTAGAGGGCTGGAGGTCTGGAGGCACGGGATAGGGGGCTGGAGAGATGCCACGATTTTTCTCAAGCCCACATTTGGCCAAAGACAAGACAGGATCCCCTTTTTCCCTCTCTGCCTAGAGGTGTGGGGATGGGAGGGCACTGGTCTGATGGGGAAGGGAGACCTTAGCAGGGAATAAGGCCTATGGCTATGAAAATCAGGGGGAGGCTCCACTCCAGGGAGAGTCAGGGAAGGCTTCCAGGAGGAAGGGGTACCCATGTTGGGTCTAGAAGGATTAGGAGGCATGAAAAGAGGAAGAACATTCCAGGCACAGAGAGCTGGCTCCATAACGGCCTAGAGGTTAGGAGCTTAATGCCTTTGGAGCCTGAGGTTGCTCTGACCCACATGATAGGGACAGAGAGAGAAGCGAGGAGAGAGGAGCCCACAGAGGACAAGTAGGGCAAACTGTCCAGGCTCTGGTAAGACGCCCTGTCAGAATCTGCCTGCTAACTCACGGTCACTTTGAAGGTGATGGCCTTCTGCAGGCCCTCAGGAGAGATCTGCAGCAGCTCAGCCACGGCCTGGATCTCCCGGGCACTCACTACCGAGGCCACCTCCTGCGTATCCGTCTGTGCAAAACAGCAATTGTGCTGTGAACTAGACAAGCTGAGCTTAAAGTTCCCATGAAAAACTGAAATGAGCTAGAACTGCAAAGAAAATTCTGGAAAAGAAGCTGGGCATGGAAGCACCGTAATTCAGCATTTAAGAGGCCGAGGAAGTAGGATCTCGACCTCGAGGCCAGTCTGGACAATTCAGCAAGTTCATTTCCATCCTGGACTACAGAATGAAACCCTGTTTCAACATACAAAAAATGGAAAAACAAACAAACAAACAAACAAACAAACTCTGGAAAAGCTAGGCATAGTGGCACACGCTTGTAATCCCAACAGGCAGGATGTTGTGAGTTTGAGACCAGCCTGGGAAAAAAGCATGACTAAGACTTTGTAAGGTAGTAAAAACATAATGCAGTAATTGGAACTGCATGGTCAGACTGAAGGCATAACTAGCAGTAGAGTATCTGTTTTCTCCCAGGACCAAATAAACAAAACAACATGATCAAAGACATATGGTACATAAACCAGCCAATGAAGTACGTTAGAAAGTCTGGTATTAGATATATCTAATTATAATTATAATTATAATTATAATTATAATTAGATATATCTAATGTATATAGTAATTCAGTACACGATAAACACTTTAGGATACCAGGATAGTCTAAGTGGGGAACTGAGACAAAGTCAGTTCAGGCCAGTTTTGAACACTTGATTCTCCTGCCTCAGCCTTCTAAGAGTTGGGATTATAGGCATGCACTGTGCTACCACAAATCCTAAAATTTATTGAAAAGAATTGTAAGAGACAGTTGTTATAATTTTAGAGCTAGATTTTTTCTAAGAATGACAAAAAGGCAAAATTTTACCTAAGAAAATGTTAATAAATGCACTGCCTAAAAGTAATATTAAAATAATCTGCATGGAAAAAAAAAACTCCAAAGAAATGGCAAAAAAATTGTAAAGAAAATCAAAACATAAATGACAAACTGGAAAATACATTTAAATTCATGTCAAAAACAAAGATTTGACTCCTCTCAGGAATACTAAAGCTTTCACATATCAATAAGAAAAAGATAAACAGCTCCAAGGGGTTGCAGAACAAATATGTGCATAGTGTAACCTGGAAGAGAGGTATGGAAGCCTTAGAAAAGGGGCTGTGTCAGGCAGTGGGATCTCCTCACCTCATACTTCTCGAAATACACATTCCCCAGGTGTAGGATGGAGGCCAGGATGCGGAAGATGCTGTCTTGGTCCTCACTGCTGAAGCCCAGCACCTCCATGGCAGCCAGGAGCCGGCGGAAGTCATCAGCATCACTCTTCCCTGGGATCTCACAGTTCCCACCCTGGCAAGAGCAGGGGCTGAGGTCAGGGATGGTCAGTATGGTCCAAGCTGGTTCCTCAAGCTCTTGTTTCACTCTCATGGGCCAGGAGGGTTCTGAGGGGTCTCAGGACAGGCTGCAGAGATCCCAAATGTGACGAGTAGCAGCCCAACGTTAATGATAATGAGGCGGTAGCCAAGGTGCAAAGAGTATCCTGCACACCAGGATTAAGTTCATTACCTGCCTCGACTCATCAGTATGTCACTATATCCCTGCACAGGGCCACCACGGGGCTTTTGCTAAGTTTTTATTAGTACATTGGAGGTACCTAATGATTGCATTCATCCTGGGAGACAGATACATGTACATATCTTAATCCTTCTTCCCTCTTTCTCTTTCCTTTCTAGATCACTGTCCCATTTGCAAAAATCTGTTTCTCTGTTCCCTATTGCCTATCTTTTACTTTGCCCTTTAAGCTTTACAGGGGTACTATGTTGTCTTCATTTCACAGTTAAGGAAACTGAGACACAGAAAAGAGACAAGGAGCAGTCACAGGTTGGCTAGCTCTATTCTAGCCACTGCTCTGGGACCTGGACATTCCTGTTCTCCTGACAGAGATACGATGTCTCAAATCCAGACTTTCCCTCCCTCTCCAAGCCTTCATCCCTTTCACTGGACATTATGATACCACAGCTGGGTTCCAGGGCCCACCCAGGAGTGCTGGAGCTTTGAATGTTTGCAGGTGCTCACCTGGTTCAGGTAGTAGTAGGTCTCAGCTTCCTGAAGGCTAAAGGCCTGCCGCAGTTGAGCAGGCAGCCCTGCCAGCAGCTCATAGAAAATGTGGTAATTCCTCTCATTTTTGGCCTGCAGAGTGAATGAGTGGATGCAGAGAAGGGAGACACCCACCTTGGGGACCCCCAGACACACAGACAGATCCAGGTATGCTCACAAACATAAACATGCCCAAGGGCCTGCAGGTGAATTCAGGCACCTTTGCGATGAGTAGTATGTGGGAGTGGGGAAGCCTAGATTAGTGGTGGGATTTTATTTTGTTTGGAAAAATCAGAGGAGACAGCCTGTCCTTTCTCTTGTGGCTGGCCATACATGCCTACAGCCTGGATGTGCACCCAGGGGTTTCCTGACAGAGTACTCGGTCAAGGCAGCTGAGTCCTTCCTGTGCCCCAGGCTATGTCCTAGATTAACAGAAACCCCTGATATCTTGGTGCCCACTCTCTAGCTGGAAAGACACACTCAACAGATCCTTGGTTAAAATGTAAAATATTAAAAAGCACTCTGGATAGAAATAAAGCACTTAAGTGGTGAGAGTTCTGGTGAGGTGGAGAGGGTCTGCATTTGTAAATGGAGTAGCTTCCCTGAGCAGAGCACACACAGGGAAGGCTTAGAGGAGGTAAGGGGCTTGGCTGTGCAGGCATCTTGTAGATGAGTGCTCCTAGAAGGGGGATACAGTAGTTGCAAAGACCATGAGACCCAAGCATGTCTGGTTTGTTCAGGGATTGGGTGTAGCCAGTATGGCTGCAGGAGTTGGGAGAGGTGGCGAGGTCACAGGCTCACTTGTGTATACATACATATGCTCCTGTGCATGCATTTGTTCATAATTGGATAGCTCTCCAGCCCTGTAGGTACCAGGCTGTGAGTGTCTGTACCTCCCCATCCCTCCATGCACATAGGCCTAGAAGAGGCAACCCACCTGAAACACAATCCGGGATTTCTCCAGCAGGTACTGGGAGGTTATGGCACCAGAGATCACGCCCCTGGGATGGGGAGCACAGTCAGCTCCAGAGATAGGAGGTAAGGCTTAGAGAGGGGACTGTCAGCTGGTTGGCCCTGGGAGCTTCTGAGACAGGTGGATGGGGTTGCATGGCCTTTGGGAACCTCATCATGGTCCCACTCACCCTTCCAGAAAGATCTCTACGAACTTCCCAAAGCGGCTGGAGTTGTCATTTCTGACGGTTTTGGCATTACCGAAGGACTCCAAGAGAGGTGTTGCTTCCAGGATCTGGGCCCCAGAAGGAGAGGAGAGTTTGGGGTGTTTAGTAAGTTCTGGAACTGAGGGTAGGAGATTGGGGGGACATCTAGATACAGAATGCCCTTGTTGAAAGGTGATCAAAAAGGGATTCCATAAAATCCTGGGGTTACCCCAATGCCCTCACCCCATGCAATCCCACTACTTCACAGCAAGCTCCATGCTATCCACTCCCAGACCCTGGGTTCCACATACATCAGCCCTTGACCGCAAACCCCAGCCCCAGCCCAGGACAGACCTCTTGGATGCCTATGGATCTTCTTCCTCTGGATGCCTTATCCTGTCTACAAGCATCACAGAAGCATGCACGAGTACACACACACACAACAAGTACCTTTATCTTCAGGAGCACCAGTGAAGGGCGAACAGGAATGAAGGACAAGAACAGAAATGGGTTACTGATAGGAATGATCATCTCTCTCCCCAGGAAACCAGGAAGGAGCCTGGGACCCAGGAGGAACCAGCCAGTCCTCTGTGATGCAAACCTGTGCACCTCATACCAGGTGTTCAAGTTTTGGGAATACAATGTGTCTCCAGAGTGCTGGAGTCTATCAGGTCTGCCTGCCACAAGTCTGGGGAAGTCCTCTTCTCCCTGCCCATGGCTGACAGTCCCCTGGGCTCCTCAAGCTCCTCTCTGAACCAGACCTCTCCTGCTGTCTCATTGTAGCCATCAGAGGGCTCTTTGAAAACCTACATGAGTGGGCCAGGGATATAGCTCAGTTAAGCTATAGCACCTGCTTAAGCACTTGCTTGGCAGGCACAACGTCAGGAGTTTGATCCCTGGTACTAAAAAAGAAAGAAAGGAAAACCTATTTAGGGCACCTTACCTCTAGGTCTCCAGCTTTCTTCAGGCTCAAAACCGATTTTTCTATGACCTCCAAGGTCCAGCCCTGGCCAGCTCCATCATGTGCTTGTCTCTGTTCCCTTACACTGTCCAGCCCAGCTCACTGTTCACATAACACCAAGGCACACTCCTGTCTCAGCATTTGCATCTACCACTTCTGCTGCCTGGAAGCTGCTCTCAGGGTCTGCATGGTCCCCTCACCTCCATCAAGGAAGCCTCCTGGGCCACCTGGATTCCCTCCCTCTCAACTCTCAGCACCCTTGCAAGCTCCACTTCCTTGTCTGTTTCTTAGGTATTGTTCATCTTCCTACCAGAATATTAGCCTCTAGGTGCATAATTGCATCTGTACACCTCTGAGTCTCAGCATCTGCCTGTGACTAGTGCATAATACGTCTTCAAAAGCTCACCAAATAGCTTTAAAAAGGTAAAAGATCTAACGAGCAGATCGGCCTAGGGCAAGCACAGGTGATAATAGCTCCCACCCATTAAGCACCTACTATGAGTCAGACCACTGCTCTATGACACTGATAACCTATGAACTAAGTGCTAATATCACCACTGTTTTTGCATAGTAGTTTTCTAAACAGATTCTTAGTCTTTTTTCAAATATATTTTATTTCAAAGAGGAAAAAAAGAAACAATAAATAAAACAAAATTTTAAAGCATGGGTATGACAATGCTACATACTTTACATATTATTATGCCCAAATCATTCACCCAGAGCACAAGACATCTGCTTTCAATTGTCCAAACAATACTAGCACAAATCTTTCTCTCTCTCCAGTGAACATAGAGAAATCAGTAGTATAATTATCTTAACCATCATTTTTATGTACACATATATACATATACACATGTTGTTTCTTTCAACTAGTGAGACAATATAATGTTTACACATGTGTGTCTGATTTATTTTACTTATGATTATGGTCTTAAGTTGCATCCATTTACCTATACAAGTCTAGTTTATCTTTCTTTATGGCTGAGTATTACCTTAGAGTAGAAAAGTACCACATCTTTTTTATCCATTCCTCAATCAAGGATTAGATTTAGGTTGTTTCCAAAATCTAGCTATTACAAATTGTACTGCTATGAATATGGGTGTACATATATTGATGTGGTAGGATGTTTTCAGTTCTTCTGGGAAGATGCCCAGAAGGGGAACAGCTGGGTCAAATGGGACCTCTAGTCCTAGTTTTTAAGGAATCTCTGCACTAATTTCCGCAGTGGTTGCATTCCCATCAACAGTGGAGAAGGATTCCTTTTTGCCCACATCCCCGCCAGCATTTGTTATTGCTTGATTTCTTGACAATAGCCATTCTTTCAGGGGAGGTGGGAGCTCAGTGTTGTTTTAATTTGCAACTCTTAAATGACCAGTGATGCTGAACATTTTTTCACATATTTATTTGCTGTTTGTATTTCTTCATCTGAGAAGTGTGCATTCATCTCAGATGCCCATTTTTGGATTAGGTTTTAAATCTGGAAGGACTAATTTTTGAGTTCTTTATATGCTAAGCAGATACTTTGAAAAGTGACATGATTTGCCCAGGAATCTCAGAATCTGCGATGGGACCCTAACAGGACAGTGACAAGCACGTGCTAGCAAGAACACAGAATTTTTCTTTGCCTAAGTCATTTCCTCAGGATGAAGGGAAGAAGCAGGGAGGCCTGGGCAATGCAGAAATCACACCTGTGACCCTGGGAGTGTTGCCAGTCACTCCATTTGTTCAGCTACCATTCTGTTTTATCCAAGACTGCTGTGCCCATTATATAGAAAAGAACAGACAGGTTTAGAAAGGACAGGAGCTGGTCTGTGGTTGCCCAGTGAGTCAAGGTCAGACTAGGCATTGCTTTACACCAGTGGTGGCAAACTTATGGCATGCGTTTGTTATCACTGAAAGCTCTAAAACATTCACCATCAGTATTTTATACTATTCCTGGGGGCCCCTTGAGGGCACCTGAAGGTGGTGGGTCATGTCTCTGTTCCTGGTGCCCAGCGCAGGGCAGAGCATGAAGCCAGAACCTGGAATAGAGGGCTCCTGGACTGGAATAGATGAACAGTGGAGAGGCAGACACTACAACTCAGGTCCGAGTTAGTCAGGGCACAGCACTCCTCAAGCTACATGATTAGCTTCAGTGAGAACACATGACCAAAACCTGTCCAATGAGGAGCCCTGAGACTTTTTCTGAAAAACTAGAAGATATGAGTCCTATCGAATCTACTATACCATCCGGGTGATCAATGGGGGTGACAGACTGAGGATGATGGACATACATGAGGAAGACTGGGACAAAGATAGACGATGTTTAAGACCCAGCCATACTTAACTGTCCAATGACAGAAGCAGGGCGGAGCTGTGATTAAGAAAGGAGCCGGGGCTGGGGATTTAGCTCAGCGGCATAAGCGCCTGTCTTGCAAGCAGGCAGTCGAGAGTTCAATCGCTGGTACCAATAAAAACGAAAAAGACCAAAAAAAAAAAAAAAAAAAAAAAGGAGCCCTAGAGCCACGCTGCTGGCAACCATGTTCTTACGTCTGTGGCATGCTAAGCACAGAAGCTCCCAGACTCACTCATTTTCCCTAAAGCTCTCTACCACATGGCACAAATCTCAATTCCTCCATTGCCTCGCCTTGGGTCATTCCCAAGTTAACTCCTTTTCAGACCTCAGTTTCCCACACCTGGGGGGCACTTCTTCTTCTTCTTCTTTTTTTTTTTTTAAAGCTTATGCCGCTGAGTTAAATCTCCAGCCCCTGGGGGGCACTTCTTAACAGACCTGCTCCTCCACCACCCTGCCTGCCAGGAGGCTGAACAGCTGTGTCACTCTCTGGTTGAGCCCCTCTTATGCCTCTGTCTGATCCTTCTGCAGATCCTTAGATCATTAGCTAGTTTTAATATACATCAGGATTCAGCCTCACACACTGCTACTGCTCTGGCCTGGCCCCCTGTCCTTTCTCATCTAGGCTCCGTGCTGCTGCTCTGCTGTCCCTTGAGTGCCCCAGCATACTCAGACTCAGGGACTTTGCACGTGCTTTCCCCTTGGCTCCTTCATTCTTCCCCATGGTGCTTCTCCCCACTCCCTGAGTACTTACGGTACAGCCCTCAACTCTCTTTATCCTCCTACTGATTTTCTCCTCTCCAACACACCTTTTTACAAATATGAGATGTGACCGAAATAAAGTTAATGTTTAACTTTTTATAATTTATTACAGTAAAAGACGCATTGCTATTAATCCCTCTCAAAACACTTCACTCCAAACGAACATCACACAGCTCTTGGCAGCTTCTGAAGCAGTTCTAGAAAGTCCTCTTTTGTGGGTGTGTCATAAAAAATACTGCTGAGTACTGCTGCCAGGTGCCATCCAAAACATCATGGTGCATCTTCATCCACTTTATTCACAAAATCTGGCACTATACAACTTCCCGTTCTTTCCAAAAGTCAAAATGACTATGAAAGGTAGATATTTTGAAGTCAGGGCATGGAAATAACATAAATAAAGACATGAAAAAGGACTTCCAGAATGCTTGAGACACTGGCAAGAGCAGTAGGTAAATGTGTTTGAAGCAAGAGGTAATACTTTGAAGGAGATTAATGGCAATGAGTCTTTTACTGTGATACCTTTTTAAAACGTTAACTGTATTTTTATAACACTATGTATATAATGTACTTATAGGTACTTATATATTTTTTCCTTTCTGCCTCTTCCACCAGGAGGAAATTCCCACAGGGGTGTGAACATCTGTCTGAGTTAGTGCTGCCTCCTCCACAGTGCCCGGCAAGATTTAGCATTCTCCTAATCGGCAAATCTCTGATCCAGCATAGAGGCTGGGCCAGTGTCCTCTGACACCCCCAGGCTGGTACCTGCTGCACCCTAACCTCATGTACCACCACTCCCGGACATGTCCTGCCTCTTCAGTGCTAAGGGCTGCACAGACTCTCAATGTGAGAATATAATGGCCCTGGGACTATAACTAGGAAGGTGAGGCCAGGTAGAGAGACAGGGCTGACTGCCCTGCCCATTTGGTCTCTACTCTGACAGAGGGTGGATAGATGGCTGCGTGCCTCAGTGTAACCACCTCCCAGTTCTCTGGTGCTTCTCTCAGAGGGACGGCACAAAGAGCAGGCCTAGGTCAACCTAACCCTTCAAAACCTCAGCCTCCCAATTGCCCAAGTTCGACCAAGGAGTCTTGCCTCTTAGGGAGCATGTTGTAGCTTGGCATAATTAACACCATCTTGAGCCCTGCCTTTAACTAGTGCCCTGTATTCAGGAAAATGGAAAATTACTCATGGTATAAGACCCATGAGAAAAGCAGAATGAGCTGTACCCGCAGGAGAAAAATTAACCTGCTCAACAAAAGAAGCACGGTACAGGTGTCAACCAAAAATTAATGAAAGTTTCGAGCTAAACTGTTTCCAACAGGATGTCTTTTGTGATTCACTCTTAAAAACTCTGTAATTTCCAGTTTGGTGCCACTGTTTGGACCCTGAGACAGGGGGGTTTGTATATGAGTGGTCCTGAGCTCAGTTAATATATTTCAAATTTATCAATTTGGCTGCTTGGATTCCTATATTGTTCACGAACCCACCTTAGAGAATACGAGGCATGTTCAGCAAGGGTGCTTGACAGAAAGTCCTGGGGAGACAGACCGACAAAGCAAGAAACAGACTTACCTGCTGCATGACATCCCTCTTTTGGTTCATGGCAGCCAGGTAGCGCAGAATCAGCTTGGTGGCCTCAGTTTTGCCAGAGCCGCTCTCTCCACTGACCAGGTAAAGGGGCAGAGTGAGAGTCAATCTTTTACCGTCTCTCTGGATTCTCTCCGATTCACCATAAAGAAAGGGGCTATGGGCATGGCTGGCTCAGATGTACCTGAAGCCTAGCTCACCTGATGATTATGCACTGGTTCTGTTTGGCATCAAGCATTTTGGCGAAGGCGAGATTAGCAATCGCAAAGAGGTGTCTGTCGAGACAGGTCATTAGATGTCACTAGAAAAAGCCTTGCTGATGGCGTCTGGGTGGTGACGTTGATAGTCTGGTGTCTCTATCCAGCCAAGCAGCCAATCCCATATACCCCTTACCCCCTGGAAATATGCCCATGGCCATGCTTATCCTAAGCTACAGTGGCTCCCAGGGAGGGCCACGGCCAGGTCTGGGGAGACACTATGAGTTGATTACATGGCCTGCCCATTCTTTTCAGCCCTGACCCATGGCTGAGGGCGGCCTAGGACTTGCCAAGTTCAGCGAGAGACTCAGGAGACCCCAGGGCAGCCCCCCTCCAGTCCCACAGACACTCACGGGGGATTATCTCCCAGGGCCCTCCCGCTGTACTGCTGTACTTGCTCCGGCCCGTAGATCCCGAACATTTGATATGGGTTCATGGACACCAAGATGCTGCCGATGTATGTCTGCTGGCAGATGATGGCTTCAGTGTTGGGACTCCTGGAGGCCCTCCCTCCCTGCTGCAGGAGACTGGGCCCCCTTTCTAGCAGGATGGTTAGCTGGCTACCTTGCCTTAGTGTGACTACCTTGATTCTTCCAGCAATCCCTGTGTTCTAATTACCATGAAGACTGAGGCTGGGAGCAGAGTGGAGTGAGCCAAGCCCTGCAGCCATGATGCTGAAAAAATGGCCACGTCATTTATTTATGATCAGGTGCAGGCTCCAGAACATCTGCCTCACACTGAAGTCAAACCTCCACTGCCTGGAGTGGGGAACCCAGGGCATTTGCAGTAGCCAGTTCCTTCTGGGTATCCCTAACTTCTGTAGTTCCGGGGCTCTGGTCATTCTGAGGCCAGGGGTTTCCCCTCTCACCCCTTTGGCTACTCCCATCCTATGGATTCAAGGACTCTGGAAGTTTTATCTGTAAGATCTCCAGTGTGTGGTGTGTGTGCGTGCATGTGTGTGTGTTTGCATGTGCGTGTGTGTGTGATATTTCTGGATTTCTCATCTCTATGTCTCTGCCTCTAGTGTCCACCATTCTAACGCTATGCTTTAGAACTTCCAGTTTTATAGTTTCCGGCTGTAGTATTTTATGCCAAAATAGTGAAATCCGAGAGCTCAAATAAGAAGTCATAGTTGCGGGATGGATGGGAGAAATCTTACTTCCCACCTGGCCCTAAGAGGTGGCTGACTCCCTAATTCAGACCTAGAGCAGGCCAGCCCCCGGGCTTACATAGATGAGGTTCCGTTCAAATCTGGTCTTGAGATTGGACAGCACAGTGGTCTCCTGGAGGTCTCTAGGAGAACATGGATGTGGGTTGTTAGTGTAGTGTCCTTGGGGCTCCTTCTCCACTCAATGCCTTACTCAGTGGACCTGAGTTTCAGTTTCTGATACTACCCTTGGGAAAGTTACTTTACTTTGATGAGCCTCAGTTTCTTAGTTGACTTTTTTGCTGTGATTTGCATTTTGTTTTTGATACAGGGTCTCATTATGCAATTCAGGCTGGCCTTGAATTCACTGTGTAGCCAATGCTGGCCTTGAACTCATGGTGACACTCCTGCCTCAGCTGCTTGAGTGCTGGCTTTACAGGTGCATGCCACCACACCCAAGATGCCCCAGTTTGTTAATCTGTCCAATGTGTCTAATCATTGTGCCTACTGCCCTGGAGACTAGGAGGACCTTATAAGGTAGCAAACATGAAGACTGAGAGAGTGTGATGGAGCACAGTGCTGACCAGCTCAGCTCCATATTCTGGGCATCTCCGGTGCTCCCAGCACTCTCATGGTCATCCATCCTATCTTGTGGATGAGAAACAGACATGCAGAGGGGAAGCGATGTGCCTACAGTCCCCCAACTAGTAAGTGATGGGGCTGGCATTTGAACTAAAGCCTGTCTGAATTACAGAGCTTTGACTTTGGTATATATTTGGCCTTTAGTGACATTTCATGACACCCATATGCAGACAAAGAAACTGAGGCTCTGAAAGCGTTCTGGGAAGTAAACAGCAGACATTGTCTGAGAGAGTGGGGATCCCACAGTGGCCCTCCCGGGTCCTGCCCACTCACTCCAGCTGTGTCATGTCCTCCACACCATCCTCCCTGCGCTGCTCGCGGCTCCGAATAGAAGGCAGGTTGCGGATGGAGTGCATCTGTGAGAGAGAGGTGGAGTTGGCAGGCTGCAGCGCATCTGTGGGGGCCCAGGCTTGGACAGACCTGGACCTTCTCCCATTGTCACAGCAGGAACCTCAGGGCCAGCCCTGTGGGTACAGTAGGCCTCCTCAACACAGAACACAACCCTTGGTACAATCCTCACACACAAGGACTCAAGTCTGTCCTCAGTGCCTGAGTACCCCTGGGGCAAGTCCCTGTGAGTGCCAAGTATCTTGCCTGGAGGCAAGCACACACACATATAGGCACACACTTATCTGTGCCCCATAACCTCAACTCCCCCTTGGATGAGCCCCTTCATCCTGGCAGACTCCTTGTGTTGGCTTTTGTGATAACTTGATGGACATGTTTCCTGATGCATGCACCCTCCAGAAGGGCCAAGATGGAATCTGCCTCAGGATTGTACCCCTGTGCATGGACCCACACGTGGAGACCTTTCAGCTCTCACTACTCCCATGCACATCTGTGATCTTGTAGAATGCCTGTGGATAAGCATGCAGGCCGCCAGTACTTGTCTGGGGGCACACACATGCAGGAACATGCTCTTAATGTCCATTAGAATGTGCACCTAGACAGAGACCTGGGGTCCTCTCTGCCCTGGGGGCTTTGAGAATGAAAGTCCTCATGCCATCTCTGGACTGCAGATTTTCCACAATGTGCACTTATGTACACATATGTATGTGCACGCATGTAGAGCAGACAAGTAACTCAGGAAGCCACATCTGCTCAGACCTTAGCACAGGCTTGCTTTTCATGTTTGGTTGTGGTAGACATGTATGTCCGGGCACACAGGCCTGCAAAGCTCTGCATCTGTGAGCACACATATGTGTACCCTCACCCTTTCCATCCCAGCTGCTCTCCTCCCTGGACAGACAATGAAAGGGAACACCAGTAGGGGCCCTTGTGCGCTGTGTGCCCATCACATGGCTGCTAAGTAGGGCACAAGTATCACCCTTTCGGCCTTGGCCTCAGGCCCACCCATCTGCCCATGTGCTCGCAGCAGCCACAGACCCTGAATAATTCAGCCACTCACGTATTCCAGGGTGAGGAGGGCCCAGGCATCCTTGCCCCTCACCCCTGGGCGCCCTGCGCCCCGTTCCCGCAATGCTGCAGCCCACACGGTACGGGGCACTCGCCGCCGGGGCCAGGGTCCCCCCAAAAGCCAGGCTGCCCCAGTTGCCATTGTCAGGCCCAACTGGCTGGCTGCTCCATGGGGCACCGTCTGAGCAGGCTGAGAAACACCCGCCACCACTGCTTGCCCCGCCCATGCATGGTGTCCCGGGGGAGGCTCCGGTGACCACCTGCTTCCTTCAAGGGCCGTCCAGCATCGGTTCGTGTTCCACTATGAGTGTGGCAACTAGGTACAGGTTGGGCACCCTTCAGGCAGGCTGCCTACCCTGTACCCAACAAGGGCTCCAACCAGACTCCCTGGCTTAGCACCCATTCACTGTGTGCCTCTGAGTTTCAGTTTTCCCACTTTGCACTGAGAAGGCTGAAAAGTTGGGTACTGAGGCCCCCCACACCCCCACCCCCCGTTGTCTAGGATCCTTTGGGCCAGGCTTCTATAAAAGCAACAAAACCCTGAGGGGACAGAGGACTGTAATTTGGGGTGGGTCAGGAGGAGGCACGATCACATGGGCAGGGACACAGGAATCGGCCAGGGCGGATGGGCAAGTTCTGCACTTTGCCCTCAGCTCAGCTGAAACCTCAGTGGGGTACCTGGGGTTGCCTAGGCCAAGATGGTCCAGGGCAGGGCAACTCAGAGCCTGGTCTGGAACTAACCAAGAAAATTCAATTCCTTCCCCAAAGTCATCCAGGAGAAGTTTCCTGCATCTCTGCCATATGTCTGTCTGTGATGGGCATCTCTGGTGCAATAACCAGACTGTAGGAAACCAGGCCTATTTTCCCAACCTTCAGATGGTAGAGTGAGGCCTATGCAGGAAGGCCTGTGCCTCCGGATTGTACCCCTGTGCATGGACCCACACGTGGTGACCTTTCAGCTTGCCGAGGCTCCTCAGGCTACCTCTTGCCCTATTTCCTAGAGCAGAATCCCCAAGCCTTCCCTCTCACCTGGGCCCCATACCTTGTTTTGCCAGCTTTTGGGGTCAACCTCTTTCCAGAGGCCTCTGAGGAACAGGTAGCCAGCTCCAGGGCCTCGGTGTTGAGACTGATGGCGGGCATGTATTTGCGGCCAGGGCAGGTGGGCATCTGCCCGAAGCCAGAGGCGGGGCCGGTGTAGATTGCAGGTTTGGAGCTCTGGTCCATGTTCAGGTTCTGGGGCTGGCTGTTCTGGGGTCTGCGGAGTGGCAGGCCCAGCTCGCTGAAAAGAAGTCAGTTTCCGAACCTGAGGCATGACCACGGCAAAGCGTCCAGGGCAAGCCCGAGATCTCTCACCCGCCTTAGGCAGAGGCCCTGGGGGGCCGGTGGGTGCCAAGGGGGCAGGGGCTCTGGGCAGTGTCTTCCAGCGGCGCCATGGTGGCCATGTGGCCCTTGCCTGGTCACACGTGGCCAGTGGATATGAGAGGCTGAGCCTTAACACCTTCTGCTCTGATGCCACATCCTTGGGAGATGTTAGGATACAAGTTTCTGGCTCTGTTGGTGCCTGGGGTTCCACCCCCAGAGTAGTTTCTTCCGGATGTTCAGGGATGGAGGAGGCTGATTTGGTGAGCTGTCCAGGCCCTGGGTCCTGGTGTCTGCCTGAGATAACACTGGTTGAATCCGAGACTGGGGCTGCAGCCTGGGGAGCCGGAGCCGGCAGGGGGCCCACGTGCTGAAGGAAGGGATTCTTGGGCCGAGAGGATGGCCTGGAAAAGCCTCGAAGGCTACCCACGCCCCCAGGCCAGGGGGAGGGCGGCCGCTGAGTAGGCGACCCATCGCCATCCCAGGTGGGGGCCAGAGGAGGCATGGTCCAGGGAATGTCAGAGTCCTCAGGTTCCTGCGGGCTGTCCCTGTGCTCGGAGGGCCCTGCAGCCACTCTCCAAGGGCCTGTGCTGGGAGGTGGGTGGAAGGGCTGGAGCACTCGAGGCTTCACTGCTCTGCTGGGCGGCTCACTGAGGCGCCGCCACGCGTGCGGGAGGCGCGAGGGTAAGTTGAGGGATCGCTGCCTTGGGCGATGGCCCAGCAGAGGGGGTGGCGAGGCTGGGCGGGGGGAACCCAGCACGGGCGAGTGGGGTGGGCGCAGGCGCCCAGAGGCTCTGTGAGGGGTCAAGGGCTCCCGCAGTGACCGAGGTCGGCGTGGCGGGGGTGGGAAGGGTGGCTGGAACGGGCCCCTGCGGAGGGACAGCTGAGGGGACAGGGGCCCTAGGGGCGACAGGTAGCCTGGACCTGGAAGGTTCCTCAGCGAAGGCTGGGGCGAGGGCGGCGGGGGCCAGGCTCGCCTCCTCGAGGCCAGTGGGGAGGCCCCAGCAAAGCCGAAGGCAGTTCCTGCTTGGCGGCGACGCGAGTCCCGGAACGAGCGCTGGGGCACAGGAAAGGCCAGCAGGTCGGGGGGCACCTCGGGGTTCGCAGGAGGGGGCTCTGCGTAGGCCCACCAGTTTGCGGGTGGCGCGAGGGGCACGTGGGCAGGGGCAGCCCAGGGCGGAGGGTGGTGGCGGAGGGACCCGTAAGGCGAGGCGAGTCGGGGCCGACCGGACAGCTGCGGGGAGAAGGGTGCGGCGGGCGGCGGGCCGGGACTGGGGGGCCGCCGGGGCGCGGGCGGGGAGAGGAGCGCGCTCCAGTGGGAGAGGGCGCGGGGCGCGGGCGCGGGCGCGGGCGCGGGCGGCGGTGAGCGCGGGCGGTGGGAGTTGTTGTTGTTGCGCGCCTGCGGCCCGGCGCGCCTCAGCATGATGGGCGTGTTGGGCCGGTCGGGGTCCATGCCCGCCAGCTTGTAGCCGAAGCGCTTGTAGGCCGCCTCCCTGACCGCGGAGCCGCGCCCTCGGGCCTGCTGGCTGCCCCGGAGCCGCCGGATGGGCTTCTTTTCCGACAGGGTCTTCTTGAGGAACCGCGCCAGCGACGTGGCCGGGCGAGGCGCGGGGCGGCCGAACTCGGGGCTGAAGCCCAGACCGCGGGGGGCCCCGAAGGCAGACAGCGCCCGCTGCAGGTTGCGCTGGCGCGGAGTGAGGAAGGCCCAGTAGGGATGGCTGTAGGGCAGCGCGGCCACTGGAGTCATCTCCTCCTCTTCGTCCTCCTCATCCGCATCCGCCAAGGGCAGTGGGATATCCAGGGAGGGGGGCAGGGGCACGTCCAACTTCTCCTTCCCGAACAGCTTCACTTGCGGCCGTGGAAAGAGGCGGAACTTGCGGATGAGGGACAGCTTGGACCTGGAGGGCTTGTCCATGCCTTGCTGCTCGAAGAAGGCCGAGCTAGGCAGGCGGAAAGAAGTGCCCCGCTGCTCCACTCCTGCCTCTTCCGGCTCCTCCAGTTCCACAATGTCATCCATGGGGTGGGCGTATGGGTTGTGGGGTGACAGGATGGGAGGTGGTACCCAGGGGTACGCGAAGGTTGACTCTTCTGGGTAAAGGTAGGGCGTCACTGGTGGATAGATAGCCTCGTTCCCTCCACCATAGATGCCTTCTGCATAGGGGACATTGTAGGGCACTCCATACGGATCAAGGTAGGGTGCCTCGTAGGGAGTCTCGTACGGCAGGTCATAGGATGGGTAAGGTACGTCGTATGGCGCGTAGGGATCCAGGTAGTAGCTGTAGGGGTAGGCCTCCCCCTCGAGCCTGTCCTGGTAGCTGTAGGGGGATGAGTATCCAGACGGGGGCGCATACGGGGGCTCATAGTCGTCGTAGCCATAGCTGTGGCCTGGGAAAAAGTAGCTGCCATAGTGGTCGGGGAAGTAGTAGTCGTAGGGCTCCTCAGATGGGTATCCATAGGGGTAGTCAGCATAGGGTGGCCAGGCTGGGCTGTAGGGACGATAGCCAGCCAAGTAGGGTTCCTGTTCCTCGTAGCGGTGTAGCGATTGCTGGTCATAGTAGTCGTCACCCTCGCGGTGGTAGTCATAATATTCACCAAGGTCCTGGAAGCCTTCCAGACCATAAAGCGACTTGCGGGAGCCCGCATGCCGGAAGGGTGCTTCATCTTCGAAAGGCAGGAAGCCTACAGGCTCCCCAGAGGAGTAGATGCTGTGGCTGCGGGGAAACCTGCGGAGCCGGCCTCCATGACGCAGGATCTCGGCTCCGGATGGGAAAGGCAGCTTTTGGGAGCCCATTCGGGAGTCGGAGCGCTGGAGCCAGGCATCTAGTGCTGCTTGTTCGCTGCCAGACTCTTCAGCCTTCTTGAGGAGGAACTTCTTGGTGAGCCAGTTAATGGCTGTAGAAGCCTTGCTGAGTGATCGGGCTCGAGGTCGGAGGCGGCCATAGCCCTTCCGGCCTGGGAAGCGTATCACCATAAAGGATGGCTTCTTGCCCTTCATTGCCCGCTTCTTCTTGCCCATGCGCATCTGTGTCATGAGCTTGGATGTGGATTTGAGTACCGTGCGGGCCTTCTTCTTGCGTTTGGTCTTCTGGGGTCCAGTGTGGAGGCCCCAGAAGAAGGCTGATGCACTCCGGAACTGGCCCTTTTTGGAGATCTTGGGTGTGCGGTCTCGGAAGCCCATAAACAGCCGAGATGTACCCTTCAAGCTCCGTTTGGGCTTCTCAGGCTCTGGGGCCTTCTTCCCCTTCTTCCCTTTCTTGGCTTTCTTTTCCTCATCTTCCTCCTTCGCCATGATGGCCTCCTGCTCCTACTGGGCCTGGGGCCTCTGTAACAGGTTCAGGGACTTGGAGACCCAGGGACCTGCGAGGTCTCTTGTCTACAGCTGGACACACGGCCTCCTCTGTCTCCCAACAGCCAGGACTGGCCACAGTGGCTTGGAAAGGGACCAGGCTAGCATTCTGGGAGGGCAGATCCATAATTCATCTCCTGAGGAGCCGCCTTGGGTTTCACCTTTAAGCAGTAGTGGAAAGTTCGTGGGTGTTATTTACCAGGCAGGAAAGCCTGGGGAGGCCTAGGCTGGGGGAACATCCTGGCCTTACAGTCACCATGGCAATGACTGTGCTGACTAAACTCAGGCCCTCGCCGTGTCTCAGCTTGACTCCCCTGGATGCCTGGGTCACTGGGCCCCAAAGAGGCACACTACCTGCCCTAGACCATCCAGTACCCCTGTACTGTGCCTGAAGTACAAAAGGGCCTTCTGAGGCCAGAGTATGACAGCCCATCAGGTCAGGTGGGAGGGGAATCTTGGACCTCCAAGAGGAGGAAGAGAGTGGACAGGAGTAACAGGTAACAGGAGCTGGTGAGCTCTGAGGAGCTGAATAATGCATCTGGGAGAGCCTGGCTGCCACATCACTGAGCAGGGCAAGGTGTGTAAGAGGGGGTAAAGGGGGACTCAGCAGGCCCCCTCTGTAAGCCTCGCCTTTTGCTCACTGTTTCTGCCTATTCATATGATTCTGCTTGTCTTCCCTGAAATTCATGAGCAACTGTGGGAGACCCCGCCATTCAGAGGGGCCAGGGCTAGAGCTAGGGGTGCCCGCTGCAGGTAACCCCTGGGGACAGGATACTGGATGAAAACTAGGGTGATTAGATGGCTTTTTTGGGCAGGGGGCACAGGGAGTGGGGCTCTTGCAGTGTAGATTTTGAGGGGATGGCCACTGTCCCTGTCACCTCTTTCCACGCTGCCCACTTTCCCACCTCTCTGGCTGTTGCTGCTGCTCTTATGAGGAAAAATGAAGGGCAGAGGAGTTGATCTTTCTGAGCTCAGATGGGCAGACACCCACCCCTGCCCCTGCCCCTGCCCTCTGGGAGCTGGTTTCCAGAGTGAGGCCTGGGCCAGGTTTGTTACACAGAGGGATCTCATGGGATTCTCTCAAATGGCCTGTGAGGTAGGAACTGTTCTTAGCCCCATTTTCTAGGTGAGGAAGCCCAGATTCGGAGAGGTAAAGTAACTTGTCCAAAGCCCCTTAGCTTGGGAAGGCAGAACCCAGGTCCAGCAGGGTCCAGAGCTGGCTTCCTAGTCAGGCATCCAGCCTATTTAAGCTCCTAGGTGATGGGCCATCACCCAGGTGGGGAGAAGTCCTTGGGTGGAGTTAGGGGCTTGGCTGAGCTGACCTAGAGCCTGCTCCAGCTAGGAGTTTTAGGGCCTGACTGAGCCACCGAACAAGCCAGAAACACAGCTAGGTCTCCAACAGGGCTTTTGTCTGATGTTTCCAGTGAAGGTCACTCAGGCCATGTCTGTGCTTGGGCCCCTACCTGGATTCTTCAGTCAACCCATTTCTGTCTCTGAAGGTCTTAAAGCCAACATTCTGGTGCCTGGTCATTTGTTTGTTCATCCATTCATTCTTCGTGAGAATCATTGGGTACTGTGTAAACTCTGAGATGCAGTATGAAGGGCACAGCACTGGGCACATTAATGGGTGTATTGTACGGGGTGGATTATATCTTGATCCAAGCTGTTACAAAAGAGGAAAAAGGAAGGAAGAAAGGGAGATGGGAGAAATAAGGAGGAAGAGAAAGAACCATGAGAACACAGAATCCGTGTTTCTCATCCTGGATGCATACACAGAACGGCTGCATAGAGTGCTGCTCACTGCTGCAACTGCCAAGATGCACTGCTGGGTGGCACAGGATGTGGCTGTGAAAAAGCACTGATGGTGTCTGTGCCCTGCTAGGGAAGTGGAATGCAGAGCACTTGTCCATATAGCATTTACACCTTGACTTGTCTTTTTGTAGGAAACTGTATCAGTGGATAGGGAAGTATATTTTTATTTACATATAAAAATACTGCAAATATGTAAGAAACTAATGAGATTGTTCATTTCAATGCAAACCTTTTTATATCCATTTGATTTTTAAATCACATAAATATGTTCTGGTTCAAATGGGCATGCAAAAAAGTAGCACTTAAGGGAGAAAGTGGAAAATAAAAACAAAAAATGAGAAAGTAGGGAAAGTAAGGAAAAGAGAATTGGAGAAAAATGTTGAGACCTGAAACCAGAGTCTAATCCCAACCCAGCCCCACCTGCATGCAACATTTGAGGAAACTGATGCAGAAAAAAGTCAGGGCTGTTCCTTCAGCTCAAAGACATCTCTCAGAGTCACCTTCCACCTGTCCCAGGAGAGGGTCCTTGGCTGGTATTTGTACAAGAGAGAGATGGAGAGCAACCAGGCTAGCCTAAGTTCTGCCTTGAACCCTGAAGTAGTCATCTTTCTGCTTTGAAGCTCCACTGCCCTAACATGCTCACAGAAGCAAGCCTAATTGTACAAGGACATATAGGACTCAAAGACAAAACTTCCTGGATCTGATCCTGAGCCAGTCACACAGCAGCTAAGCTTTGGTCTCTTCTGGTACCTCCTCCTCCTGGGGCTGACAAACCTTAAGGGATAAACACAGCAGGGGTGGGGCTGGCTGGCTGAGGCTTGTTATGGTAGCTGACATTGCCTTCTGTGCTTTGGAAGATGGTCTGGGTGGCTGCTGGCAGCAAGGCCTGCTGAGCTTAGCAACCAGTGAGGGCTTCTTTTTCTGGTGACTCCTGGGTCCCACATCCTTCTGCAGGTCCCAGCTCTTGATGCGGGTGCTGAGAAGTATCAGGAGTAAGTCTCTCACACATTCATCCCTCAGATATTGGCTGCATAACCATGTGCCAAACAAATACTTCCCTAAGTGCTAGGAGGTCATAGGGATTTGAGTAGAGCAAGACATAGTCTCTGTCCTCAGAATTCCCAAGGTCACAGACCTTAAACTAAGGGCCATATCATCCAGAAACACGAAGGTTAAAGCATGACACCAGGTGGGCCAGCACCATGTTGGAGGTCGAGGAAGTTTCCCCTAAGAAGGTGGCCCCGAGCCAAGATCTGAAGGGTAGGAGGGAGTTAATCACATGGAAGAGGGAACAGTGTTCCAGTTAGATAGAAGTGCATATACAAAGACCAAGTGGTGAGAGGGCCTTAAAGAAAAGCCCTATTACTGGAACAGGTGTGTGGAATATGAAGCAGTAGGCAGGGACTGGCCATCATGAGGCTGTGGAGCCTGGGACAGGACTTTGGTCTCTATCTCTTAAGTAGTGGGGGGGCCACAGCAGAGTTGTAAGCTTTTAGGAGTGTTGCAGCTAGATTTGCATTTTAAACGTAATAATAACCAACACTGCCAAGAGTTTCTATGTGTTAGGCTAGGCACTGGAATATCTCACTAGATTTTTACATACATGAGACTGCAGTTCTTGCCATGTAATGTTATCAGTACTAGGGATCGAACTCAACCGTGCGCTTGTAAGGAAGGCACTTAAGCCACTGAGCTAACTCCCCAGCATCTTATCACCTAATGAAGGTCTCTGGGTTTGAGGTTAAATCACTCAGCCAAGAGTCTATGGTGAGGACATGATGGGGACTCTGGCTGCAGGGCCAGAGTTCAGAATTCCATGCCACACAGCTCATTCAGCTATCATTAAAATCCCAAATGGATATATTTATCCTTCTCATTTTAGTTGAGAAAACAGGCTCAGAGAAGTTTACTGAGTGGCCTGAGGCCACACAGTTAGAAACTGGACTTGAGCCCAGTTGGCTTGAGTGTACTTTCAATCACTGCCTTACTTTGCTTTCTTGGAAAGAGGTCTGGAAAATCGTTCTTGGGCCACTGCAGGAAGCTGGTGGGGTTGGAGGGCCTGCAATGAGGACAGGGAGAGGGATAGGTGGCTTGGCTGGGACAGGTCCATAGCGAAGCAGTGTATACATTCAGAGTGAGGTTCAACAGGCTGGCCCTTGATGGGTAGGTGGGGCTGAGTGAGAACACAGTCAGAAGGGCTTAGCTTGGTATAGCTGGACAAGCCAGAGAATGTCTTCCGAGGTGAGGTGGATGATGTGGGACACATCTGCCTGAGACAAGTTTGGGGTGATGGAGACAGAATGCAGCAAAGAATCACAAACATGGTTGTTCCAAAGCCTGGAACGTGGAGGGACAGACATCCTGAAGGTCAGGTGAGACAGAGGAAGGGGATGGGAACTGGCCGGGACGGTCTGGCTCAAGTGCTGTGTATAGAAAGGGGGCTGAGGGGCATGGTCAGTGGGTTAAAAGTGGTCACTGAAGGCTGGGGTGCAGCTCAGTTTTAGAGCCACTTGCCTAGCATGTGGGAGGTCTTAGGTTCTATCCCCAGCATGGGGAGAAGGGGTCAGTTTAACAATGTGTAGCATCACAGGCTGTTTTGGTGACATGCTGGAGGCTGACTGATGAGAATCCTGGGCCTGGGGTGACCAGAGGAGCAGATTCACCTAGGATTCCTAACCTAGGTAAAAGAGGTACATAGAGAAAAAGCCACCTAGAGGACACAGTGAAGTCATCTGAAGGCAAGGACAGTGGCCTCAGGAGAAGCTCGCCTGGCCCAGACCTTGATCTCAGACTTTGAGCCTCCAGAACTTTCTGCTGTTCCAACCACCAGGTATGTGGTGTTCTTAGCCTTAGCTAAGACGAAGTTAGTTGCCAAATCAACTGGACAAATCCAGGTGACAGAGAGGGGGAAAGGTACAATGACATAACAGAGAAAAAGAGAGGGAGAGTGGGTGATCTGAGAAATCAGAGGTACAGGTGAGGTGACCTGGCCCTGGCCTCCATGAGTGTGGGTGGTTGGGAGGATGAGTTTTCAGGCCAGGACTGCACAGCCAGTGAGGAAGAAGTGGAAGGCAGGGCTAGAGGAGACTCTGAAGCAGTTTAGGGGCTGTGGGGGTAAAACCTAGTTCTTGAGGGCAGATGAACTTAAGTTTCTTATCAAAGAGGATTCTGAGATGATGAACTGTGTAATCTAAACTGGAGAGGAGGGACATGAAGAATGAATACACAGATGCTGGACAGACACACAGGTTCTTTCCACATGAGTTTTCTAAAGCTGCAGGCCAGGTTGTCCTCTGGGGTTCTAGCCTGGCACTGAGTATAGTCCTGCTGCCTGGAGACTAGCTGAGTGAAGCTGTAGGCCCCTCCTGTCACAGCCAGGGGAGAGTGAATAATGGGACCAAGGTGGCCAACACGAGCAAGGCCCAACCCGAGTCCAACTGATAGCATGGGTTGGGAACCTTCCAGGTTGCTTAGGGGGCTTTCCAGCCAAGGGCCACTGAGCAGCCGTGTCACTTTGACTTGAGCATGTAGAGCTGAATAGTCCCTCTCATACAGTAGAACTGTGCTGATTACAGATCCAGATAGCCCAGGGCACAATACACAGAGATGTCTCTGACCCCAGCACAAAGAATGAGGCCAGCAAACACGTTCACCCTTGGGTTGGAACATGTGACTGGTACCACGGACTTTAGCCCCAAGTCTGAGGTCCCCAAAATGCTTACTGCATCTGTCACCCTTTCTGAGCTAGCCTGGGTTGGGGGGTGTCAGACAGAACAGGCGTGGATCCAATCTGTGAGCTCAAGGCTCTCCTGACTGCTCACAGGGCTGAGGCCCCACTTGTAAAACCAAGGGTGGGGATGATTGTCACCCTGATAGAAATCCCCCTCTAGCTCTCTATGGCCAAGCTATCTATAGGACATCAGGATAGGGTTGCCAAATAAGACATCAAGCATTTATTTACCTGTCATGGCATCCCAGTCACCAAGGGGACATTATACCTGAAAAAAGAAGGCAGTGTGGCTCAAGGAAGCCTCACAGTGAGTCAGGAAAAGGTCTCAGCTCTGCTGTCCTGTCCTTCCCTGTGACCTGGGAGATCAGTGGCAGACCCCAAAGCTCTGAGTCCCCTTACCTGGGTCCCGTAGCCTGTTCCCTGCCTGCATGCCGCTTGATGGGGGGTCCTGCGTCTGGCCCAGAAACACAGCCAGCCGAGCAGAGCAGCTTGGTCACAGGAGGGAGAGGAGGCCCAGCCCATCACGCCAACCGCCTGGACCCATGTATATTTAATGATGTCTATTATTCCTGTTTTGTCTCTGAAAAGTAGCGAGCAGCTGATGGGAGCAGGGAACAGCCAGGAAAGCTGGGCAGTGGGCTTGTTCCATGTTCCAGCCTGGCCCAGGTCCTCCCTCTACCCGTCCTTATAGCTGCACAGAACCTGTGCCTTCTACCTGCAAAGGCACACTGCTGCAGAAGGCCTTTCCCATGCTCTAGACTCATAGCCGTGTAATTCTGAATGCTTCTGTAGCTTCCCACAGAGAGATAGCACAGCAGTCCTTAGGTGGCACAGCAGGCCCCTCTACCTTTAGCCTGAAGTCACAGGAAATGTAAGCACTCATAGAGAAGTGAGCCTTTCCTGCCACTTCAAAACAGTCATAAGTGCCTCCTGTGAATCCTTCCCATGCTGCAGCTGGGCCTGGTCTTCAGAGGGGCATACCAGGCCATCGGCAGGCCCTCATCAGCCCTCCTGGAACTGTCCCACATTTGGGCCAGGGCAGACCCTGTTTTCCCCTAGCAACCTGTTTGGGTCTGTCCAAGGGCCCAGGACATGCCCACTTTCTGATGGCCAGGTGAACTGCTGCCCCCTACCTCACTATTCTACATGGCAACAGGATCTGAGTTTAAAATTTCCCTCTGTCTGGACAGGAGTAATTTTCTATCCTTTATTTCAGAAAAGAGAACAGAGATCGTGGGGCTTAGACAGAAAATAGAGCCCAAACTTGGCAATCCTTACCCTGAATATGCAGGGCCAGAGTCCTGGGCTTTGTGCTGGGCAGGGGCTGCCCTAAGAAGGTTCAGAGGGGAGGCACTTTAGGACCACTCAGGCTATGGGGAGCATGACCTGGCTCCCACCATGAGGACTCAAGTCCCCAAGTGCCAGAGAAGTCAGCAGGAGCTGAGGAAATGAAGCACCCTCAAGGACCCAGCTAGGCCCGGCTCCCACCCCAGTACTGAGCTTGCCACTGTTGGGCCCTTGTTGGGGAGTAAATGGGTAACTCATTCCCTCAGTCTCCAAAGGGGCCAAGAATACGAACCTCATCAGTGGGGTCAGACTCACAGGAAATGTCCCTGGAATAGCCCGAGTCCCCCAACCTCATCCCATGCTCTTCACTGTTTGCCTACTGAAGAAGCTTCTAGAAACAGTAGAGATGGGAGGGACCCCTCCTGGGGTGTATGTACTTGTATTTTTCCTATTTGGGTTTTGGTGAGTCCCAATGGGTCCAGCTCCCCAGGAAACAAGTCCAGCTTAACAGGTTGCTACTTCTTCACAATCTGGATGACATCTTCATGCTCCATGGTGTGGGTTAGGCCCACCCGCTGTGGGCTGTACTTGGTGCTGGTACCCTGGCAGGAACAGGGGCAAAGGAGCCATGTCAGCCTGCAGCCTGCAGCCTCCAAGGCTGGAGAAAACTAGGGGTGAGTTAGGCAGGTGAATGCTGGAGGAAAGTGGAGGCCCCAGACTGGCAATCCACCAGGCCCTGACAGCACGATGCCCCCAGCAACCTGACCATCCTGAATCTGAAGTGGGGAGGCCTATGTCCAGCCAGGTCAGCACATACACTCCAAGGAGCAGGACAGACATGAGGGTGCAAGGACAGGAATGCTGGACAGAGCACAGAGGCCCCACTCTCACCAAGGGCTGTGTTGGGCCCAAGGCTTGCCAGGACTCACCCACACCAGGGCGTACTTGAACTGGCTGGCGAGTGACCGGTGGATACGGTGGCACTAGAAGACAGGAAACAAAACAGGGAGATGAGGCTCTGCACAACTGCACCTGGGCTAGGCTGCCAAAGCAAGCCCTGGGTGCATGCTGAGCAGTAGCCACTCCCGGGGAGTGGGCCAGGAAGGTTTGTCAGGAGACCTTCCTCAGCTTGGAATTACAACTCCGGGCTCCAGCTGTGTGTGCATATCACACCTCCACCCTTATTTTACCCTGAACCCCACATTCCTGGGAAGGGATACAGGTCACGAAGGAGATCCTTGGGGAGGCAGCCAGTAGTTGCCTCAGATGTGGACCTCTGGTTGCCACCCATGTAGATGAGGCAGGGAGTAGACTGTGAAATGTTGTTCCTCCTCCTCCCACAGGCCCACAAGTCTTACAGACCTGAGCCTGCAGGAACACTTCTCCCTAGTATATATGGGAAGCCACCAGATGACAGTCTCCTCTGGATGATGAAGGACATCAAAGCCACAAAGAAGAGGCACACACAGCAACAGGGATAAGCACATCCACAACAATCAATTCCCACACTTTTATTCCTAGATCAGAGAGTAATAAAAACTAATGGCCTAGCTGGGCATGATGGCGCACACCCATCACTTGGGAGACTGAGGCAGGAGGACTACTGCAAGTTCAAGGCCAGCCTGTGCTACACAGAAAAGCCTTGTTTCAAAACCAAACCAAACCAAACCAAACCCAAAACTGATGACCTAGAGGTCAGCTCTCCCTTACAAACTAGTTTTTAAATTCCATTCAATTTCTCTGCTTTCCCTTAAAAGTTAATTTCATTGGTGAAATTAAAAAGCAGGTTCAATATAATGAAAAGAGTCATACTTCCAAAACTATTATACAGATTCCATGCATCCAATCAAAATTCCAATAGCGTATCTCACACAATTAGAGAAAACAATCCTAAAATTCATCTGAAACCAGAAAAGAGTAGCAAATAGCAAAGGCAATCCTGAGCAAAAAAGGCAAGGCAGAGGGCATCACAATCCCTGACTTAAAATTATAGTATAAAGCTACTGTGACAAAAACAGCATGGTACTGGCAAAAAAAAACAAAAACAAAAAAAAACCAAAAAAAAAACAAAAAACAAAAAACAAACAAAAAAAGACCCAAACATTAATGGAACAGATTAGAAACAACTCCAGACACACTAAGCCACCTAACCTTTGGTGCCAAACACATACACTGGAAAAAAGATAGCCCCTTTAAAAAATGGTGCTGGAAAAACTGGCTTTGCACGTGCCAAAGATTAAAACTGAACCTGTATATTTTCACCATGCACTAAGCTAAAATCAATGGATTGAAGATCTAAACATTAAAACAGAAATTTAAATCTTCTGGAAGACAGAGTAGGTAAAACTCTTGAAGACACTGGTATAGGCAAAGACTTTATGAACAAAACCCTGATTACACAGGAAATGTCACAAAGAATCAACAACTGGGATCTCATCCTATTGAAAAGCTTTTGCACAGCAAGAGAAACCACAAATAGATGAAGAGACAACCCACAATGTGGGAGAAACTGTTTGCCAGCTGTTCCTCAGACAAAGGATTACTATCCAGAATATATAAAGGAACTCAAAAAAATCAGTCCTCCCAGATTTAAAGACCCCATCCAAAAATGGGCATCTGAGATGAATACACACTTCTTAGATAAAGAACTACAAACAGCAAATAAATATGTGAAAAAAATGCTCAATATCCCTGTTCATTCAAGAAATGTAAATTAAAACAACACTGAGATTCCATCTTACTCCAAGAAGAATGGCTATGATTCAAGAAATCAAAAAATAACAAATGTTGGAGGGGCTGTGGAAAAAAAGGAACCCTTCTCTACTGTTGGTGAGAATGCAGACTGGTACAACTACTGTGGAAATCAGTGTGGAGACTCCTCAAAAAACTGGGACTAGAGGTCCCATTTGACCCAACTATTCCCCTTCTGGGTATCTTCCCAAAAGAATTAAAAACATCATACCACATCAATATATGTGCACCCATATTCATAGCAGTACAATTTGTAATAGCTAGATTTTGGAAAGTACCTAAATCTAATCCTTGACTGAGGAATGGATAAAAAAGATGTGGTAATTTTCTACTCTAGGGTAGTATTCAGCCATAAAGAAAGATAAACTAGACTTTTATAGGTAAATGGATGCAACTTGAGACCATAATCATAAGTGGAATAAATCAGACACATATGTGTAAAAACATCGTGTTGTCTCACTAGTGTGAGCTGAAAACAACCTATGTATATGTATACATATATATGCATAAAAATTAGGTAAGATAGTTATACTGATTTCTCTGAGTTCACTGAAGAGAAAAGCTTGTACTGGTGCTATTCAGAAAATTGAATACAGATGTCTTGTACTCGGGGAGACTGATTTGGGGATGACAATGTATAATGTATATATCATTGTTGTCCCCTGATTGTTGTTTTGAAATTTATTTTTCCACTTTGAAATGAAATGGACTTGACATGAAAAAATAAAAAAATAAAAAGGAGGTTTACACAGTCACTAAAATTCTTTTGAAACCCCAAAGGCTTTAGGAGAAACAGGTCAGGGTTTGCTCCCTGAGGTCAAGAGGACATGAGCTCTGCATTTTGCTACAGGCTGTACCACACCCTGACATGAAGTTGAGTGTTTTCAGTAGGAAGCATTTACCATGGAGCTTTCTTTTTGGTTTTCATGGTGGAGTATTTCCCTGCACTCATATCTCTAGTATCAGGTGGAGAATGGGATGTCATCCCAAAAAGCCACGTTTGTAAGAAAGATGGAAGATATTCTTGGGCAGAAAGACTATCCTGCCTTGGAGTCCCCTATATCTTATTCCTGCCAGCCTTCCTGAAGCTTCTGCACCAGGGCTCATCACCATGACCCTAATAAGTGCAGCTCTGAGTATTACACTCCATCAGCCAGCTCTCACCAACAGGGATCCAGGGGTAGGGCTAGACAGCTCTAGACTAGAAAACTGAGGCACAGGAAGGAGAAGCTGTTGCCTGGTTTCAGATTTGACTGCTCAACTATTTTGAGTCTCCAGTCAGCATCTGGGCTGTAACTCTCTGGGCTGGAGAAGGCCTTTTACTTGTACTCTTGGTACCAGAGCCAGCTCAGTGTCCTGGGAAGAAGAACCTGTGGAGGTGGTGAGCAGTGAAGGAGTTGATCATTGAAGAAAAGGCCTTGCCGAGGGCCTTTTCTGAGTCCTGAGTCAGGCTTCCAAAGTCCGTTCCCCTCCATCCAGCCTCTTGTCACTGTAGGGTGGTAGGCCTATTTTCTCTGTCCATTCCCCAGCCTCACTGCTGCCTGTTTGCTTCTCCCACTGTTATTCCACTCTACCTCTCCTAATGACCAACCTTTCTCCTAGACGTGGCTAAAGCCCCACATCCTCCTAGGCAAAGCAGCTGGGCCTGAGAGAGAAGAAACTCCCCCAGAAGCACAAGGTGACTCTAGAAAGGGCTAGCACCTGTTGTCTACAGCCTGTTGGACTCCAAGTAGAGGATCCTGCAACTAAAAGATTCCAGCACAGGTCTATGGAACAGGGCCTCCATCATGGAGCTCCTTATGAGGGACTGAAGGGACTCAAGGGAATGCTGTTCCTTGTCTCCTCTCTGCCTGCTAAATTTCAAGCCTAGGCTTTGAGGATAGTATGGCTTTGCTTGGTCCCATCTGTCTAAGCACCTTGACGTTAGTACAGAGCCCACAATCTGGGTTTGCCCAATGAATTGATGTATGAGACCAGATTACAGGCTCAGTTACTACTGTTCTTCTGAGTGACTACAGGGATAATTGGGTCTCACAACATCCCTTGTCTCCAAAACACAGTCTGAGAAGACATGAACTGGAGGAGAACAAAAATCTAGGAAAATAAGAGCTAAGGAAGATGGCCCTGTGACCAGAAGCCTCATCTGGGCTCCAGTCATAACCTGTGCCTATCAAATCACATTCAGCCACAGAAGCTGGGACAGGCAGAAGTACCTGCCCACTGTCTGAGCCCAGGGCACCCTGCCTGGAGTACTCCCACTGTGGTCTCCACAGGTCAGCCAGCATACCTTGTGTGACCTGCTGCCCTGACCCCAGGATGCCCCCAGTGCCACCCCACCATATGCTGCTGTGTCTAGTGTTCACCCTCAGTAACTATGTGCTAAGAGTCAGGCCTGGTGGTACATGCCTATAATCTCAGCACTTGGAAGGCTGGGGCAGGAGAATCACAGAGAATCTGAGACCAGTATGGGCTACATAGTGAGTTCAAGGCCACCCTGAACTACACAGCAAAATCCTCTCTCAAAAAACATACATACAATAGCTGGGGATGTATTTCAGCAGCACACATGCCTGCCTGGCAAGCACAAGCTCCTGGGTTCAGTTCCTAATACCAAACACACACACACACACACACACACACACACACACACACACACACACCACACACGCATGCACGCACGCTACACACACACATACATACAAAGAAACAAGCAACATGCGCTGAGGGTAGGAAGCAGCCAGGGGCGGGGCCGGGAGAGGGGAACAGGCCGGGCTAGGCTAGGGGCTGAGGAGGGCAGAAGCAGGTCTGAAGATCTCTCTCACTCACTGCTCCAGCCCTCTGGAGAAACTCAAGCTGACTAGCCACACACAAACATCAGGGGCAGTAGTTCTCCTGGATCAAATGCTGGAATGACCACTGGCTGTGGGCCCCAAGTGGCCTACAGCACTGAAAGCAGGATGCCAGGACCACTGTTCACTGGCATCTACCCAGTGCCAAGAGGTGTACCAGGAGCCTTATACTCTTGCCCTCATTCAATAGACCTCCCTAACTACTCATGGGGACAAACAGTATCACCCCTACCTCTCAAGAGAGGGATGGGAGCCTGAGATGCAGCAAGGAAGGGGTAATAAGGACACAATCCTGGACTAACTCTAGAGCCTGCTTAAATATCCCAGAGCCCAACCCTGCCCCCCTGTTAGGACCTCAGGAGAACAGATCCCCCAGAGGCCCCCTGGGCTCCCAGACCCTCCTCGAGGGAGGATCAACTCACCACATGTTCTACAGAGGCCCCTTTCCGGAGAATGATGGCATCTGTGAAGTCAGGCCTCTCTGTAGATAAGAGATGGGGAGAGTGACAACCAGTCATAGCCTTGTGCTGCTTTGGGATACCTTTTCATAGGGGACTGCTAGCTGCAGTGGCCCTTCTGATCTCCTGGCCTAACTTACCCTCTCAATATAGATTCCTGTGTTGCTTGCTACAACTCTGACCTTAACTGAAAATTAAAATCAAAAGTCAAGAACTCACATGCCTGCCACTCTGTCAGGTGTGACAGCACTGATAGAAACACTTGGGGCATCTGGACTGAATGGGCAGAAGTGAGTGGCTGCTGCGGTTTAGAAGGGGAAGCTATAGCTCTTCCCTTGCTGCCTAGGTCAGGGTTGATATAAACTGCCCAAGACTCAGACAACGGGTCCCCAGAGCCTGTATGTCTGCATGAGATGCAGACATGGAAAAGGTTCCTATAACTCCTGATGCAGGGCCTGCTATTGCAGAGGGAGGTCAGAAGCCTAGGGGCTGCTGTGACCAGTGGGAAACCCAGGGAAGCCTCAAGCCCAGCAGTCCAATCACTCAGTATTCTCTGCCATACAGCTCAGGCCAAAGTCTCCACCAGCCTTGGTGAAAGACAGCAGCACCCTGTTCTCACAGGCAAGCTGGGCTGGTCTGAATGCTACACACAGGCTGGCAACCCTCAAGGGAGGGTGAAGCTCAGCCATGTCTTGAGTGGGACCCTGGCCGACTCACGTCCTCTCTTCTTCGTGTAGATGCAGGTCAGGGCTAAGTACTCCCAGAGCATCTCCAGCAGGTAGTCCAGGTTCAGTTTCATGCCGCAGCTACAGGGAGGAAGGCACCAGTCAGCCAAAGACTGGAAACTCAGAGGACAGAGTTTCTGCTCCTCACTGTTAGAAAAGATGAGCTACATGGCCAGGCATGGACATTAAGGCTAGTGTGGTCCCACTAATACCCATGGGGAAAAAGTCTGTTACCCCAATAACAGCTGAATGCTTCATCCACTAATACTTCTGGTCACCCGTGACAGTTATGTCTCATAGAACTTGCATCTCTCCTACAGGCCAGCACAGCTGTGCTCTATGGGGGCCACTAGTACTTGTGACTGACTCAGGCCTGCAGTGGGGAGACGAGTCAGGCCGGGGACTGCCTCCAGTGAGGAGGGAGGCTACTGAGGGCCCAGGGCCACACTCGGGGCCTTTAACACAAAGAGAGAGACCCAGGTGTTGGACATAGCCAAACATTGGTGACCCCTGACTTGATTCACAGCAATGTAATCCTGAATGGGACCCTGACCTCTGGAAGAGTTACTGTGAGCATGAACAAGTACAGGAAGCCATGCTCTTCATGCTCTGAAGATAAGCATGTCCTCACACATCCCAAGAGGCCTGAGACACAGCAGGAAGAAGGAGAGGAGTTGAGGCTTCCCCGGGGAGGAACACTGCTCTTTGCAGTGGCTGCAGCACCCAGCAAATAGTTCTCACCTGTCGTTTGCCCCAAATGGCCCTGCATAGGCCCTGAGCATCTTGCTCCAACCAGTTAGGCCTCACTGGGAAGCAGCAGAGTGCCTGGTTTGAGCCAAGAAACCAGAAAAGCAGAGTGCTCAGTCCATCCCAGTAAGTATAACAGTTACGGGCCAGGGCATGTGCGGGAAGGTCAGCATCTCAGGGACCCACACAGCAATGAAGTGTAGGAAGCAGGGAGCCAGGGGCAGACCCGCCCATCTGAGAGCTTAGTTCTCTTTTTCCTCTGTGCTGTGGTCAGAGCACAGCCACAGCTTACAGAGCATCAGGAGAGTCAGTCACACATGGGGTTTTCTAAGAGACTGTGATTCCCTACAAGGCTAAAAAGTCTCTTAGCCACCAAGCCTTTGTATTGAAATCCTCTGATTTCTTAACTAGAACCCACCAGACATTACAAACAGGCTAATGGCATCAGCAGCTATTGGGTGTCTTTCCTACAGCATTCCAGGGCCTTATGAATAGAGGGGCTCCCCTGGGAAGAGACACTGGGTGGGCTTTATGAGGTCACATGCAGCTGGAGGTGCCTGGCTTTCTCTTCCTCACAGCGGAGGTGACCAGGAGGCCATCTCCTGGGCTCAGAACGCAGAAGGACAGCAGATGGCAGGATGCCAGTGCCTCACCTGATGACCACACTGTTGGGTTTGCGAGCCAGGCGGTCTACTTCTTCCATGGAGATCTGGTCGATTTTGTTATACACCTGAGGTTGAAAAGGCAGAGGTGGGTAGTGGGGAGGAAAAGAGTCAGGGAAACCCAAGACAGGGCTTTACACGGCCATACCTGCCCATGGGACCTCCCTCCCCTTGCTTCCTCAAGGTTAGAATGGATGAGGGGCAGGCGGACCCCCTAAAAGGTAGTCTGGAACTTTTACAGCTCTCCATGTCTGCAGGACCCAGGCAGCCACTGAGGCAAAGAGCAAGGAAGGGATGGCTCTCTCTGCTTTCTCAGAGGTTTGGCTGGGGCAAGGCCAGAGGCATCCAGCCATCGGCACTAGAGGAGAGGCCATATGGCCTGAAATCACAGAACCTCTCCTGCACCAGTGCTCTCGGGTGGTAGTACCACTTACATACAGGCAGGGCATGTACACCCGGTTGCCCACGATCACATCGATGAACTCATCTGGGGAGCAGTCTTCTCGGAAAAGCACTTCTGCATTGAAGATCTCTGAGGGCTCAGATTAAGGGCAACCTGTGTGCCAGCAGCCTCCGCTGCTCTTTAGTAGAGGCCCCGAAGAGCCACACAGGAAATACACTGACTGGAAGAGCCTGCAGCCATGATCTGCTTGTGAGGGTTTACAAGCTTTTAAGCTGTGAGGAGTCCTCTCATTTCCCAACTCTCAAGTCATAATACATAGAAGTTTCAACCAATAAACAATTTAAATCTTCTGTTGGGCAGAGAAAATGTACTTCTAGAATCCGCAAACACAGAACTTGTAGTTTGAATCCTGGAGTATTTTGTGAAAGCTGGTTTGTGCAACCTGTTCCACATATGCATTTCCTCTGGGGGCTGCCTGTCCCTGTTTGCACACCTCTGGTGTCCAGGGCTCACACCTCATTTGGTGGCCTAGTCACCAATGTGTCTAGAACTCAGTGAGGAGCCAGGAAATCACATCAGATGCATGGCTGCAGTCCTGGAAGTCTTGTGTATTCAGGCTGGCACTTCCCAGAGGTTGCTGAGATGGCTCCAGAGTCACTGGGGTGACCCATTGTCTCTGTAGGCCAGGTGACTCCTAACTCAGGTCCCCTGGCTCCTTTGGGAAGGATACTGTACTCATGCAGGATGAGCTGCACCAGCTTCTCTGAGCACTGGGTCAACGTCACTGTTGAATTAAAGGAGATGCCTCCACCTTTCTTGGGCTAGAGCAGGAGAGAGAAACAGGGGGAGCTGTGACAAAGGGGCAGCAGTGACAGTCCCATAGTCTTCACCAAAGCCACTGCAGTCCCAAAGCTATACAGTCCTGGTCAGAGATAACCTACCTTGAAATAGATGTTGGGCTTGTGCTTATTCAGGCGGATGCCCACTGACTCTAGCTCTTTCTCCAGCAGAGACCTAAGCAGAGGACCACAAGCCTCTTACATGCTGTCCCAGGGAAGGCTGTATGATCCCATGTCACTCCAGCATACTCCAACGGGAACCAATTCCCTTTTTTCTCCCTTCCCAGCAGCCCAGGAACACTCCTTCCCACCACCCCAAAATTGTGGTAGAGCCTCAAGCCTTCTTCTACAGACAGCCAAGAAGAGGCTGGCAGGATTTACTCGGCAAGCACAAGCATGGCATGAGCCCCATGGGGTGAGCAGTGAGATACTGCTGTGGCTTCCAGAAGCCTCATGAGCCTGCTGGTGTAGAGGCAGGCTGGCAGGTGCAGGGAGGAGCAAAGCTCTGGTCTCTTGAGGTTAGGCCCTTCGGTTGTGGGCACTGCCCAGGGCACCGAAACTTCTTCAGGTAGGAGCCAGAGCTAGGCCATCTTTCTCCCTCCACCCCCACCCTGGTACTACTCCCTGCCCAAGCTGCCCTTGGGCTGGCTGGACGTAATCAGAAGCATGTTTCCACGTTGGTGGTGCTGAACCTGCTGTGGACAGCACTGCGAATACTCCCACATGTGAGGGGCAGGCCCTCACAGACCACCCATCATGAGCTTAGGGAGACATTGGCCTTCCCTACACATGTGAATCTACAACCCTGACCCGCAAGCAGACCTCTGCACCTCTCCCTTGGTGGCGTCAAGCATCATGATGACAACATCAGCTGTGCGTGCCACAGCGATCACCTGCCGGCCTCGACCCTTCCCTGGACAGAGAAGGGAACTGGTTACACTTTGGTAAGGTACAGTTACACAGAAATACCCATATGACCGCTCGCGAGCCCACAACATCCCCAACTACTGGCACAAATGTCCTTTACTAACCCATCAGTCTCTGCCACATGCTGCCCTTATGCTACGGTTTCCTTGACATTCTTAATTCACAAATTGTTTTACTCCTGAGCACTTACTCTAGAGGTTATCATCTCAACAGGATAATAAGGGGTATTTTGTCCTTGTCCTTTCCTTCTAGCAGGCTCAGTCTAGACACTCTGTGACCCTTTTCCTCACCCAATATTTTTCTCACTTAATCTTCACAACTATGTTGTGAATTCAATATTTCACAGGTAAAGAAATGGAAGTTTGGTTCAGAGATATTCAATCCCTCACCAAAATCACAAAGCTAGTATGGCATCAGCATCTGAACTTGAACCTGTGCTTTCTGGAAAACGAGGTACTCAAGGATCCAGAGTGATCTCCATGACAGTCACATCCACTGTCAACAATCAGTGACAAAATTTCAGCCTGTCTCCCTGCCTCCCACCTTGTGCAGCGCCTTCAATGATTCCAGGAAGGTCCAGGAGCTGGATATTGGCACCTTTGTACTAGGAAACAAAAGAGAAGAGGGTAAAGTGAGGCCAGGCCACCTGGGTGAAGGGCCTGCCTGGATCCTAGGACACTACAAAGCCCCACATCTCAGGGTCTATGGGAAATGCAGATGCCAGCTGTGGCCAAGGAAAGCCTCATCACCATCTCCGTCCAGCAGAGACCGCAGCCTAGAAGCCGAGGAGCATGTGGGAGGCCTCTGGTATCTTCTGCTCCATAGCACTCACTGTTGATGGAAAAGCCCCTCAAAGATAAATCAGGTCACATGGAGACTCAAGGCCATGCTGCCCAAGGCAGGCACAGTCCAAGGCTTTGGGGCTTTAAAGGAGACAAAAGGACCCAGTCAACCAGCAACAGTGACCAAAGCTGGATGGTGGAGTGGAACACAGAGGTACCCTGCAGAACTGCCATATGCTGCCAACCTCCTGGAATAAGGTTCCACGCCTAGCTAGGCTATTCATAGCCTGCTCCACACGGGGACACCCATCTTCAGACTCACCCATATGACAAGTATCTGCACAAGTCCAAACACAAGCACACACCCTCACCTTCTGAGGCCCAGCACACCTACTTACTTCAATGACCCCAGGGATACACGTCAGGGTGGTGAACTCGTAGGAGGCAGCTTCACTGGCCGTGGAGGTCATCAGACTCAGGAAGGTGGACTAGGAAATTAAAAAAGGTCACTGCACTGAGGAATCTTGCCCCAGGCTCCTGGAAGAGCCTACTTTGGGCTGGGCCTGCTGAGTGCAGGCAGCAGGAAGAACCTGCTTGCCCTTACTCTGGGGACTTTGGTGGAGGGACTGCACAGCTGGGAGCGTTGCCTCAACCCTGTGAAGATGGACAGGGTGAGAGAGGGACCCTATATTTCCTAAAGGCCTCAACCCTGTGAAGATGGACAGGGTGAGAGAGGGACCCTATTATTTCCTAAAGGCCTCTCTCTGATACGTATACTAGTTATACAGGCAGTGGGTAAAACAAAAACAATACTACCCGGCCAGTGGCATGGACTTGATAAATGGCCCATTGTCCTTTTCCCCTGTGCCTGGTCCCCTCCACATAGTTTAGTGAGTTTACTCAGAAGCCGCCCAGCCACTGTTCACGTGGTCGGCATTACAGCAATCTCATGGCTGGCCTTCCCATCCTTCCTTGTCCCACGGCTGCCTATTCACTGCACAGAACCCAGTGATTCTGTTAAAAAGTAAGTCATACCCAGGCCTTGTGTTAATAGCATTTTCCAATTAAAGGAACCGTGATTCTCTGGAGAAATGGGAGGCAGGGCTGGGAATAGATAAGATGAACTTTTAAACATTTTGTAGTGACAGAAAGTGAGAACAGGTTAGGAAAAACACAATGACAGGAGTATATCAAGGAAGCTGGGCTGGGGATATGGCTCCCTGGTAGAACTTGCCAGAGTCCATCCCAGAACCACAAAAATAAAGAAATAAATAAATAGAAAACAAGCAAGCAAGTGAAAACACCTCCAAGCTAGAACCATCTGAGCACGAGAAGAACAAAGTATGGGATTAGTTCCTAAAGTATAATATAAATACAACAGTCCATAATGATTCAATGACTAAATAAAACAAGTGTGGGGCTGAGGGAATAGAGCAGTAGAAGACAGGCTCAGTATGCACAAGGGCCTGAGTTCCATCTCCGGCAACAAAATAATAAACAGCAAAAACAAAGCCGAGTAAATGGAACAAAAGAAACGAACCTCCCACCAGAAAAATTACAAAAAATTTATATAGCTCGGGCTGGGGATTTAGCCGCATAAGCGCCTGCCTTGCAAGCAGGCAGTCGTGAGTTTGATCCCTGGTACCGATAAAAAGGAAAAAGACAAAAAAAAAATTTATATAGCTCTCCTCCTGAAGGAGGTGGTTCTGACGCCAGACCCTGTAAGGAACGGGCTCCACATACTGATGCCGTCCCAAGGATACCACATGGTAAGGGGAAGACAAAGGAGCAACTGCAGGACAGAGACTCAAGGCACGCTACCTTGGCCAGGTGGTCAAGCTCAACATCGACAGCAATAAGTCATCTTGACAGTATGTACACTCACATCATGTGATAATAAACCATGCTTGACCTATGAGGGCTCCTCCCTAAGCCAGAATCTCAATCTAAGAATCAGAAAAATATCACACAAACCTCAGCTGGGGGACTTTCTACAAAACACCTCGTTAGTCCTTCTGGAATGTGTCAAGGTCATCAAATCAAGGCACACATAAGAAACTGCCTGCTGGACCTGGTATCTGAATGTGACACGGGATCCACGATAGTTTGGTAAAAATAAGGAAATGTGAACAAGGTATAGATGAATTGGTAACAATAGCTCAATACTGATTCACTAGTAGTGACAAGTTTGCTATCCTTGTGCAAGACATGAACAGTATGGAAACCAGGTACGGATATATGGGAACACTGTACTATATTTGTAATTTTTAAAAATTAACACAGAACTATACTAAAATTAAGCTTACTTTAAACAGTAAATCAGATCGGGGCTGGGGATTTAGCTCAGCGGCATAAGCGCCTGCCTTACAAGCAGGTGGTTGTGAGTTCGATCCCTGGTACCGATAAAAATGAAAAAGACAAAAAAAAAAAAAAAAAAAAAGTAAATCAGATCTTTTTTCAAAACTCTCCAGTGATATTTATCTTATTCTCCACAAATAAATAAATAAATAAATAAATATGGATTTTACAACTAAATTGAAAAGCTTTCAAAAGAAACTGAGGAAACTCTGTCTCTGCAGTGGTTCCTCTATCACCCTTCATTCCCAGCTAGTCTGCCAGTTCCAAGGCCCCCATCTTCTCGAACTCATCTCCCCTGTTCTTATGTCAGGCAGACCAACTGCCCTGACCCCAACCACCACCTCAAAGTGCCAGGCAAGCTCCCCACAAAAGCCTGTTCCTTCTGCCCAGAATGTTCTCCAGAGCCCTGCAAATGCTCTCATCTCCTCTGGATTCTGCTCAAATAGTCACTCACTAGAGAAGCCTTCCCAGGGTGTAAGGTAGATCACTGGACCTTGCTTTCCTCACGGGCCAGCCCTGGCTCATCACTTGGTATATCCTGTTTATGTTTGCTTACTGCACTTTCTCTCACAGAACCAAGTTCTATGTGGGCCCAAACAGAACTCTCTCATTCGACACTGCATCTCCAGTACTCAGCACAACGTCCATTACATGGTATGCACTCATTAAACTGAGTTTGCAGGACTGAATGGAGCTGTTGCTGCCAGGGAGAGGGAAACACGCTTTCTGGGTTAGGGTGATAGAGGGTAAAAGAGGATCCTGGGAGAGGCGGGTCTTCGATGGCCCCGGAGCTAATCCGAAAAGGCAGTAAGGGGAGTGTCTGGAACGGCCACACTGACCATCACTGACCTTACCCACAGAGGGAAATCCAATCAGCGCCACACGAGCATCACCTGACTTCATGACATCGAAGCCCTCTCCTTTGGACGAGGCTGATTTGGATGGTTCCAGGAGCTGGGCTCGATACTTGGCAAGTTTTGCTTTCAGGAGGCCCAGGTGATACTCAGTAGCTAAAGGATATGAAACAAGATGTGGAAGGTAAATGTCCAGATCGCCAGGTTTGGGGGGTCAGGTGGGGCCCCACACATGTCAAATGTTGGCCAGGAACATCAGAATCAGATAGTCATCACTATCAAAGGGAGCAGGAAAGAAAAAATATCTCTCCATTTGAAATGCGCCCCACAGCTTTTAGCTTCATTTAGAATAAGATCTAGTCTCCTGCTGACTTCTTACCATCCCATGTCAGTGATTTCTCAGCGGGGCAGCACCAAGACCTGAGGGCATCCTGAAAATTTGGGAGATGTTTTCTGTTTACTCTGATAGTGAAGTCCTTTTTGGCATCTGTTGGGCAGGGGAGAGGCAGGCTAGCCCTGTCCTACAGGGTGTGGACCCGACCTATACAGGCAAGCATTTCATGAGTTCCACATGATTTGTCATGTTCCAGAGACACCCACAGATAGAAAACCTAGGTTACATTCTCCAGGGCCCATACCATAACTCTACTGACATGTAAATAAAGAGCATTTTTTGCAGCATTAAGATGCACTGAGGGCCGGGGATTTAGCTCAGCAGCATAAGCGCCTGCCCCGCTGGCAAGCATGCACTTGTAAGTTCGATCCCTGGTACCAAAAAAACAAAAAGATGCCCTGAAATCCTTACGAATGCAACTACTGTGTACAGGTAAGGGCAGTATCATGCCGTGCTTGGAACGCTACAATTCTGAGATGCCACACTGCACGGCAATGTCTCCTGTAGGGTATCTGAGTGGCCAGCAAAACTTGGCTGCACTGGGTTACATCCCCTTGAATTCTAGCCAGAGGTGTGTGCATTTCACCGCTTCTTTACACCCGTCTTGTATCTTGACAGTGCCCAGCAATGACACATTGCAATGAACACTATTTCGATCATAAATTACTTTTCTTGCCAGGCATGGAGGTGCATGTCTGTAATCCCAGCACTCAGGAGGCTGAGGCAGGAGGACTGGCACTACATAATGAGAACCTATCTCAAAAAAAATTACTACTCTTTTCCTTCTCCTTTATATTACTAGTTTTTTTCTTTCATTTTAAAGAGTAAAATAAAACAAAGTAAAAACAAAACAGAACAAAGAAGGACAGAATAAAACAGTGCAAATAACACAGGATTTCAGAAAAAGACAGCAGGAAATCAACAGTGGCTACCAAAATGTCTCTTGTTTTCTTCAAAATAGTTGTCCATACTTTCACAAAGAATAAGTTAATAGAAATCAAAACAGTATAAAAGCAATCAAAACAAAAGGATGAGAGCCTTAAGGGTTTTCAAGAGCAGACACTGGGAAATCAATAATGGCTACAATTACTTAGTTATTACATTGATATTTTTTCAAATTATGGGTAAGGTTTGTTTGTTTTTAAAGTTGCTCAGGCTGTGCTCAAACTTTTGATCCTCCTGCCTCAGCCTCCCAAGGTGATGTTAGAGAATTTAACTTTCAAATGTCACAAAATCTTTGCAATAAAGAGGGCTGTGGTTGAGCCTGAGAATCAGGAATCACCATGACCTGGCCCCTGCCTTCTCCAACCCTCTCTTCCTCTCTACATTACAGAGTGGCTTTCTTTTCTTCCCTGTACAAGTGGATTTCATTTGTGCACTGGGACCTTTGAACCTGTTATTCCCTGCCTTTCAACTGATCTTCCCAGTTTGCTTCTTCAAAGAGGCCTCCTGCTCCCCAGTCTCAGGGGGATGTTACTGGGTGGGGGGAGCAGTGTCGCTGGAGGTTGAGAGCCTGAGCTGAAATCCCATCCTGCCATTTCTGAGTGTTTTACTTAGGAAAAGTTGTTTACTCTTCTTGCTCACCAGTTTCTTAGTCTGCAAAATGGGGGTATTAGCAGTACTAATGACATAAAATTTCTGAAGGCTTAGCACACAGTAAACACCCAGAAGAAACTGGTTATTATTATTCCCTACAGTAAAACCCAACCTTGCCCTGTCCAGCCAGGCCCTCTGTCTCATGATCCCATTTCAGCTCTTATCTCCTTCTTGCTTCTTAATCCCAAACTTCCTCAGTTCAGTTCTTAGCATATGTTTTAGCAAGAGAATGAGTGAACTGATGGCAGTGAGAAAGGGTGAAGACAGGTTCCTATGGTCTTGTCACTCGTCACTAAACTCTGAGTATCTCTCAGGAGAAGGATGAGGTCGTAATCATCCTCACATTCCCTCTGTACACTATGGTCACGGTGCATCTTGAGATTTTCCTTAGGCTTCTCTGCTACTTTCTTAGGCTTATACATGATACTCCATACAACAGCCAGAGGAAACTTTCTTTTTCTTTGGTTGTTGGAGACAGGGTCTATTGCAGTTCAGGCCAGCCTTAAATTCACTACATAGCTTTAATTTCACTACATAGCTTTTTCTTTGGTTGTTGAAGACAGGGTCTATTGCAGTTCAGGCCAGCCTTAAATTCACTACATAGCTCAGGCTAGCATTGAACTCATGGCAATCCGCCTGCTTCATCCTCCCAAGTGTGGGATTACAGGGAACTTTTAAAACAGAAGTTGAGACTAGTGTCTCCCCTGCTTAACACCCTCTACCAGCTCCCACTGCCCTGAGCACACAATGCAGTCTTTCCCATGGCGTGCACAATTGGCCCCTCTTTTCTGATTACTATACCCCAGCCCCAGGATGGCTCATCTTCGAACGTGCCAAGTTTGTTCTCACCTCAGGGGCTTTGCACTAACTGTTTTTTCTGCCAAAAAAGATCTTGCCCCAGACCTTTGCCAGGCTGGTTCCTTCTTCTTTTTCATGTCTCAGATCAAATGCTCCATTCTCACAGAGGCCTTGTCTATCACTCTACCTAAGAAGGTCCAATCCTAGCTTTCACACCACCCTCACCACTACTCTATGACACTGGGTGGCCTTGATAACATTTACTGCTGGGTAAAATTATCGTGTTTATTTGATTACTAGTTTAGAAGCTTGTGACATGAAGACCAGCTATGTAAGGGCACAGAAGCAGCCGCTGCATTTACTGCTTTCACCACATACCTAGCACTAGGACATTCTCAGGAAGAATTTACAGAAAGAATCTTAGAAGCCCTACAGCTTCTCAGCCTCAGACTTCAATGAAGCCCCGCAAGAGCACTGAGACCACTTTGTATTTCTTGCTTCCTGCTCCTGCAGGCCTGAACCCCACGGGCTGGCCAGACATTCAGTTAGCCTTATTTCACACTCCCTTCCTTATCGAAATTATTGTCCTAGGGAAACTCCATGTGCCTATCGCAGCAACCCCTTGCCCGGGATACCCTTCCAACAACTGACTCCCGGAATCACCAGTGCTGTTTCTTCACCTTCCTACCCCGAGCTCCTCCAGTCCAGAAAATCTGCAGTCTAAATGTGATGCTTCCCTATGTGTTATCTATGTTGTGGGGGGATTACTTTAAATACCAAATGCTCACCCTGTACCCCACGCTTTGAAAATGCCATCTGATTTAACTTAGCTGTGCGCTAAGATGGAGCAGAAGTTATTATCCCCATTTGCTGATGAGGACAGAGGCTCCATGAGATGAAATGACTTCCCAAGGTTTCATTAGCAAATACATGGTGGAACTAGGATTCAAACAGAGGCCTTCCAGGTTTCAAGGTCCTGATTCCCTTCACACCACCTCTATGGCTCCCGTCCAGCTGTTTCCGTGAGAAGGCTTTTCTTGCCCCTTCCAGCACATGAGGCGACAGCGCCAACTCCTCAGGCCCATCCATTAGGAGATAGGGTTTAAACTGCGGCCCTTCCTCTTTCTGGGTCAGTTACTTGCTCTTTGAACTAGTATTTCTCTTCAGGGCATCAGGTGTGGGAGTCAGACTGGGATGTTGAGACCTGCTCTGGCCTGGCCCTGTCCCGGCACTTCTCCGCAGCCTTGGAAACCGCTCCAGCTGCAGTGCTTGAACCATTCCCCCATTTTACAGACAGGAAAACTGAGGCGATCAGAAAAGAAGGCCCTGTCGACCCAGCCCTCACCCTTGTTCTTCTGCGTCCGAGCAATCTCCTTTTCGATCTCCGAGATCTTCTCCAAGATCCCCATGGCTGCGGGAAGGATCTGCACACCTACGGCGACAGCACCGGTACCGGGAATTCCGGTCTGACGGCGGCGGCAGCGTGCAGCCGGAAACCCACGGAGAACAGCGTCCTCGGGGACGCCGGTGCTTCGGGATTCAGAGTCCGGGTAGGCGACGGGGAACAGACTGCCAAGCACTATCCGTTCCGCTCGCAGGCCTGGTTGGATCCCGCCAGCCTGCATGGCCCGGGGCGGAGCTAGAAGGGGGCGGGGCTAGACGGGTGGGGCGGGACCGTGAGGAACCGAAGAGCCGGGAAATCTGCAGCAGTGTACCTTGGAGAGGTGGTCGCTGTTGGCTTTGTTAGTGTGAAGGGGAGATGCTGAGCTGAATGCCTGCCTAATGGCTTATATTTTGTACAATGATTAGAAGCAAGTCCCATTTGCCACTTTAAACAATTGCTGTAACTACTTAGCACCACCTGCTGTCTGGGAGATGTCTCCCGAAGTGACAGTGTAGGCAGCGTCTCCTGTATGGACTTCTTGCCCCAACAACAACAACAACAAACCAACAGCAGTGAAGTTTAGATTTGAAGAAATGTCAGACATACATATAAACTGGGACATGTTATAAGCTAAGTGACCTGAGCTCCTCGAAATTGGCAATGGTTGCAGGCAGAGGTAAAAGCAGGGGTATTGTTCTAGATTCAAGAATGTTAACTATGGGGCTGGGGATTTAGCTCAGCAGCATAAGTGCCTGCCTTGTAAGCAGGCAGTTGTGAGTTCGATCCCCGGTATCGATAAAAAAAGAAAAAGATAAAAAAAAAAAAAAAAAAAAAAAGAATGTTAACTACAATGTAAGGACCTCCCCTGGATTCCGGTTAAGAAAAATGTACAAAGCAGCTGTGAAAAGACGGTTATGAGAACCGCTTGTGAAAAATTTGACTGGATTTTATATTGAATGTTATGGTGCTACTGCTGACTTCCGGGGTGTGATTAAGTAAGAGAATCTTTATTAGAAGATACACATTCAGTATTAGGGGTACTCTTAGTCTTCTCTGGCTGCCATCAAATGCCATAGACTGGGCCGCAGATTTGGCTCAGCGGTTTAAGCGCCTGCCTGACAAGTGCGAGGTCGTGAGTGCGATACCCGTATAAATAAATAAATATGCCATAGACTTTGTGCCTAAACAATAGAAGTTTATTTTCTTACGGTTCTGGATACTAAACGTCTGAGATCAGAGTGCCAGCATCTAGCACGCTGGAATTTGGGTGAAGGCTCTTCCTGGTTTGCACAGGGTTGTTTGGCTGTCACACTTCCCCCAACCTCTACTTTCTTGCTGTGTCCTTACATGTCCTTTCCTTTGGAACATGCTTTCAGGATCAAGCTCTCTGGTGTTTGTTCTTATTAGGGCACTAAACTTGTGAGTAGTATCCTACCCTCAAAAACTCATCGAAATCTAGTCACTCCCCGTAAAACTCATCTCCATCTGCCGTGAGGATCTGCTTTCAACAAATGAATAGGGGGACACAAAGGTTGGAAGAGTCATAATGATTGTACCTTACTCTCAAATAGTTCAAGATGTATATATATTTAGAGAAAGCGTGCTAAAGTAAATATGGCAATATGTTAATCATTGAATCTAGATGAAGGATATGTGGGTATTTATTGAATTATTCTTTCAGTGTTTCTGTTATGTTTTTAATAAAAAATTGAGATGGTGTGGATGCTTGGAAATCATACCTGTGTTCAAATCCCAAGTTTCTAACATGAGTTTGGCTGAATTTCTTAACCTCTCTGAGCCTATTCCTATATATCCTGAAAATGAGAGAAATGTAATTGCTACAAAAATATTTCCAAAATAAGTTTCTGGCTGTAGAATACTTGAGATATAGTTTGCTTGCTACTAAGTTCTTCTTGACTTCCAGGAGCACTGAAAGTCATTTCTCATCTGTGAATTTCACGTCCCTCCTCAGAGTTAATCTATATTTGTGGAGCATCTACTACATTCCAGGCTTTGGGCTAAACATGGGTTTTGTAAGCGTTCCACTCTGCATTTTATCATGGGAGGTTAAAAGCTATGCAAAGTCCTGCCTGGTTCTCAGGCTGTTGAATGGCAGGGCTGAGATCTAAACCCAAGACTTTCAAGTGCAGTGACACCCAGGCAACACAGTAGTGATGTTTCTGCAAAGTTTTAAGAGGTAAGGCAAAGACATTGAGGGAACTGCGAGCTCTGTGTAAATTGAAGGTCTGAGGTGCTATGGCCTAAGAGTGGATGTCCAATTTCTCTGTGCCTCCCACTTATTCATAACAGTTCTTGCAGTTGTTTTTTTTATCACCATCCTTGTGCCCACCAAGGTGTATTCACTTCCAGTTTATAGCTGGGGAAATAGAAGCGCTTTGAAAATGACTCTCCTTCCATGAGTCCTGGCATCGTCACTGTGTGACTGCTTCCATGACAATTGCCCTTGGCCTCTGTTCCTTGACTAACAGCATTTGAATTGGGTCTACCTCAAGGGTCAGGTAGAGAAATACACATCAAGGGGGCTGGGGATTTAGCTCAGCGGCATAAGCGCCTGCCTTGCAAGCAGGCAGTCAGGAGTTCAATTCCCAGTATTGATAAAAAGGAAAAAGAGAAATATACATCAAGCTCTCTCTAGGAAACTACCTTTATTGCTTGGCATGGCTGCTGGTCTTTCAAAGCCTGACTTGGGAAACCAGATATGTACCTTTACCCACAGAAAGCTTGAGGATTGCACATGTGTCTGCAGAGGTTGCTACTGGACTATATAAACATTTGATTTGTGCAGCAAAAGACACTGTCAAACCAGTTGTGGTCATGTACATCCGTAATCCCAGGACTTTGGGCAGCTGAGGCAGGAAGAAACCAAGTTTGAGTGTGGCCTGTGGAATTTAGCAATTTGAGGCCCTGTCTCAAAATGAAAAACAAAAAGGACTGGTACTGTCATGGTTTAAGTTGGTGGCCCCCAGGCCTCATGCGTTTGCATTGTGCATTTGTGATTGGCTCATTGTCTAGCACTTGGATCGATGGTGTCAGTGCTACATCCACATGGAGGTAGAGCCAGCGTACAATGTGATGGCTGGAACAAGGCCTGTCTCTCTCTTTCTCTCTTGCCAGTTTCTGCCTTGCTGTTTGCAGCCGCCATGAACTGTGGCTCCACCATGCCACCCTGCCTTGGAGCCAACTGAGTATGGGCTGAAACCTCCAAAAACTGTAAGAAATAAACCTTTCCTTTCCCAACTTTGGGCGTCAGGTATTTTGTCTCAGCAATGAGTAAAAAATGACTAAGACAGGTGCAGATATATAGCTCAGCACAAATGCCCTGGGCTGAATCCCTACTATTGAAGAAAAAAGAAAGATAAAATTAGTGTGAAATACAACACACAAATTATCATTGTTTGCAGATGACATAGAAGCCCCCCAAAATGCCACCAAAAGACTACTAGATTTAATAAGCAAATTCAGTAATGTAGCTGGATAAAAGTCAACACTCAAAAATCTATAGGCTTCCATACACGAATAATAAACTCACCAAGAGAAGAATCAGGGAACCAACACCTTTTACAATAGCATCCCCCAAAATGAAATATCTAGGAACCAATCTAACAAAAGATATAAAAAGCCCTCTATATTGAAAACTACAGTACTCCAAAAAAGGAGCTTGAAGAGGACATTAGAAAATGTAGAAATACCCCATGCTCTTGGTTAGGAAGAACCAATATAGTGAAAATTGTCATACTTCCAAACCTGTCATACAGATTCAATGCAATCTCAATCAAAATTCCAATAGCATATCTCACACAATTAGAGAAAACAATTAGAGAATTCATCTGAAACCAGAAAAGACCTACCATAGCAAAGGCAATCCTGAGCAACAAAGGCAAGGCAGGGGGCATCACAATCCTTGACTTAAAATTATACTATCAAGCTACTGTGATAAAAACAACATGGTACTGGCATAAAAACAGATACAAACATCAATAGAACAGATTAGAAACAACTCCAGACACACTAAGCCACCTTAACTTCGGTGCCAAACACATTCACTGGAAGAAACCCTCTTTAGAAAATGGTGCTGGAAAAACTGGCTCTGCACATGCCAAAGATTAAAAACTGGACCCATATCTTTTCACCATGCACTAAGCTAAAATCAATGGATTGAAGATCTAAACATTAAAACAGAAATTTTAAATCTTCTGGAAGATAGAGTAGGTAAAACTCTTGAAGACACTGGTGTAGGCAAAGACTTTATGAACAAAACCCTGATTACACAGGAAATGTCACAAAGAATCAACAACTGGGATCTCATCCTATTGAAAAGCTTTTGCACAGCAAGAGAAACCACAAATAGATGAAGAGACAAGCTACAATGTGGGAGAAACTTTTGCCAGCTGCTCCTCAGACAAAGGATTACTATCCAGAACATGTAAAGAACTAAAAAAAAAATCAGTCCTCCCAGATTTAAAGAACCAATCCAAAAATAGGCATCTGAGATGAATACACACTTCTCAGATGAAGAACTACAAGCAGCAAATAAATACGTGAAAAAATGCTCAATATCCCTGGACATTTGAGAGGTGCAAATTAAAACAACACTGAGCTCCCACCTCCCCCCTGAAAGAATGGCTACTGTCAAGAAATCAAGCAATAACAAGTGCTGGAGGGGATGTGGGCAAAAAGGAACCCTTCTCCACTGTTGATGGGAATGCAACCACTGCGGAAATCAGTGTAGAGATTCCTCAAAAAACTAGGTCTAGAGGTCCCATTTGACCCAGCTGTTCCCCTTCTGGGTATCTTCCCAAAAGAACGGAAAACATCATACCACAGGGATATATGTGCACCCATATTCACAGCAGCACAATTTGTAGTATCTAGATCTTGAAAACAACCAAAATCTAATTGTGTTTTTTTTTAAAACCAAAGTCATGACCTCATGTTTGTCAGGCAGGCACTTGTGCCACTGAGGTAAACCCCTGACCCTAAATCGAATCCTTGACTGAGGAATGGATAAAAAGTTGCGGTAGTTTTATACAGTGGAGTACTACTCGGTCATAAAGAATGATAAACTAGACTTTAATAGGTAAATGGAAAACTTAAGACTATTACCATAAGTGAAATAAATTAGATACACATGTGTAAATATCATATTGTCTCACTAGTGTGAGAAGCTGAAACAACATATATATATATATATAGTTATAAGTATAAAAATAGTTAAAATATAGTTAATTTATATATATAAATATAAAAAATAGTTAAGGTCAGTTATATTACTGATTTCTCTGAGTTCACTAAAGAGTAAGATTTATGTTGGTATTGTTCAGACAATTCAATGCAGATGTTTTGTGCTCTGAGTGAATGATTTGGGGATGACAATGCATAATGTTTGTACCATTGTTGCTTCCCCGATTGACATGTTTTGAAATTTTTAAAAATTTTTTTCTCTTTGAAATAAAATGGATTTTTTTGTTTGGGTACAGGGGATCAAACTTACAACCTTGCATTTGCCAGGTAGGTATTTATGCTGCTCAGCTAAACCCCCGTCTCAATAAAATAGCTTTGAAAAAAATAATATTAATGCAATTTAGTAACATAAAAAAGAAATACAACATACATAATGATATAAAATATTGCAAGTCATATATATGGTAAAGGGTTAATATACAAAATACATAAATAAGATATGTAACACAAGGGGCTGGGGATTTAGCTCAGCGGCATAAGCACCTGCCTTGCAAGCAAGCGGTCGTGAGTTTGATCCCCGGTATCGATAAAAAGAGAAAAAGGGAAAAAAATGTAAAAAAAAAAAAAAGATATGTAACACAGTAAAACAGCCATGTTAAAAACTAGGCAGCTAGGTACAATGGTACATGCCTGAAATCCCAGCACTCTGAGAGGCTGAGGCAAGAGGATTGCAAATTTGAGCCTGGTTAACAGTGATTTAGCATGATTCTGACTCAAAAAGGAAAAGAATTTTTAAAAGAGCTGCCAATATAATTCTGTGCAAAGGTCCTGGGTTCAGTCTCCAGTAAAACACACACACACACAGACACACACAAAGGAGGGAAAGAATGAAGGAAGGAAGGAAAGAAGAAAGAGAGAAAACTGGGAAAAGCCTTGAATAAGCATGTTTTATTTTTTGGTTTTTTGTTTTTTTTTTTTTTGGCTTTTTTGTTTTTATTGGTACCGGGGATCGAACTCACGACTGCCTGCTTCCAAGGCAGGTGCTTATGCCGCTGAGCTAAATCTCCAGCCCCCTATTTTTGTTTTTGAGACAAGGTCTCACTGTATAGTTTAGACTGGCCTTGAACTCCGTCTCCTGACTGCTGGGATTACAGGTATATGTCACCACACCTGGCTAAGCATTTTTTCAAAGAAATACAAATGGCCAATGAGCACATGGAAAAGATTCTCCACATCACTGATAATTAAGGAAATGCAAATTTATACCACAGTAAGATACCACCTCACATCCCCTGGAATGGTGAGACAGCCTTGTCAATCTGCCTGTGTTAAGAGATGCCTGGAGACGGGGCTGGGGATTTAGCTCAGCGGCATAAGTGCCTGCCTTGCAAGCAGGCAGTCGTGAGTTTGATCCCTGATACTGATAAAAACGAGAAAGACCAAAAAAAAAAAAAAAAAAAAGAGAGATGCCTGGAGAGGTGGGTGGATTGTGAGAGAACTACCTCATCGGTGTTTGAGTTTATAACTGAACAGACTGTTGGGAAGTGGGACCATGTGGGCATGACCTTGAGGACTATATTTGGCCTCTGGGGTCTTCTTTTCTGACTCTCCTTTCTCTATGCTTCTTGGCTAGCATGAGGTGAGCAGATTTCCTCTCCCCCTACTCTTCTATTATGATGCTTTTGCCTTAGAGCCAACTCACCATGTACTGAATCTTCTGAAACTATGCGTTTAAAAAACCTCTCCTCTTTTAAGTTCTGAATGTCAGGAATTTTGTCTTAGCAACGGAATGCTGACCAATACGGATGGCGAGTATAAAAAACCAGAAAATAACAAATGCTGGTGAGGCTACAGAGAAGTTGGTGGGAACGTAAAATGATGTAGCTGCTGTGAGAGATAGTAAGATGTTTCCTCCAAAAATTAAATATAAAATTGCCTTATAATCCAACAATTCTACTTCTGGGCATTTACCCAGAACTATTGACAGCAAGGCCTCCAAAAGATATCTGTAGCATCATTCAAAATAGCCAAGAAGCAGAAGCAGAAGCAACCCAAGTGCCCACTAATGGATGAATGGATAAATGAAATATACATACGATGGGGCCACATTCAGCTATAACATGCAGGGGAATTCTGCCAGGTGCTACAGCACGCTGAGATATGCCGAGTGGATGAAATAAGCTATTTATGAAAAAAATACTGTGTGATTCCACTTCCATGAGTATCTAGACAAATTCATAGAGACAGAAATTTAAATGATGATTTCTGGGTGTATCTGGGATGGGGCAATAGGGAGAGTTTTATGAGTATAAAATTTCTGTTTGGAATAATGAAAAAGTTCTTGAAATTGATGGTAGTAATACAGCATTATGCACGTACTTAATATCACTGAACTATACCCTTGTATAATATACCCTTGTACCAGTGTGAAATTATTACACTGGTAACTTCCGTGTCATGTATATTTTACAACACTAAAAAAAGCTGTATTACATGTAATCTGTAGTAAACAACCAGTACTTACACCAAATGACAAACCTAACCAACAACTCATCCCTGGACTACTTTCCCTCAGAGACACACCCTGTTTACTTGCTGTTCCCACGCAGCAGAACGGCAGGTGGCCTTTCCTTGTGGGTTCTGGTATCTTCTCTCCTCCCTCCTCTCATAAAAATGGATTGTTCTCTGCCACTACACTTCTATGGAGCTGCTTCCACAGTCAGAGGTGATCTTCACACTGTTGTAGGTAAAGAGCATCAGCATCAGCAGACATGGCTGATACCCTCAGCCTCTCTTCCTTTTGTAGGCAGTGCCTCTCTCTCATGGGACTTCTGGGCCTTTTTGACCTCTGTAGCGGCTGTTCCTACTGCTTGGAATGCTTATCCCATACCTCTGCTTGACTCAGTTCTTGGCTTGAGGTTTTTGCATATATGTCGTAACATAATGTGCTCAATGAGGCCAGCCTAATCTTCTTTATAAAAATTGCAGTCCATATTGACATGGGACTCCTTTGCCTTTTTGTCTGCATCTCATTTGCTGGTTCCTCTTCCTGTTCAT